CAGAAATGACCTTCATTTTTGCTTACTTTCCTTTTTTGTTGCCTCATTTAATGCCCTCCGTTTGTTTACTGATCCCCACTCTTTCCCATTTTAACTACAATAGAATGGCTGATTTACCCTTGATGTGCACCCGTTGCCCTGCTGTGGACACGTTCACTCCCGTTTCTTCTTCTTTTCGCTTATCTTTCTTTTTTGCACAGTAAAAGCAGCATTTCTCTCCACCTGTCGGTTATCCCATTTCTCCCTCCTTTCCCCCATGTTGCTTTTTTTTTCTTTTTTTTTTGCACTGTAAAACCACGCCTTCTGTCCACCTGTTAATCATCAATGCATTTTGTTTCCATATTTCCTTTGCTTTTCACTTTACTCTTTCGCATATCTCTTTCTTCCTTTTTTTCTCTGCTTTTTTTTTTACCTCTGTATTTTTCTTGGTCAGGCTCAGATTGTTCTCAGCCTCAGTTTTTCTTGCAAAAGTGCTCTGGGTATGTGTTTAAATTATAATTTTTTTTTTTTTGTGATTTTGTATTTGCAGCTACGTTTTAATTTTTTTTCTTGCGTTTTCTGCTTTTCTGATCTCCTTTTTCTGCTGTATGTGTTTAAGCCAAATTTTTTTTGAAGTCCTATAAAATATAGTGTTTTGTGCTGTTTAGTTGAGAGTGAGTGATTATCTTCTTTCAATGTTGTGTGCTTAGGAGTCTTAATTTTAATTTGTGATACCTCTTTGGTTTAAATTTTGTTGTTGTGAATGGTTATTTAGATTTGGGGTTTTTCTTTGCAAGGATGGATTTTTTGCTTATTGATTGTTACTTGCTATCATTGCTTAATTCATGTCTTCTTTTTTTTCAAATTTTATTTGCTTCTGTTAATATGAAGATGTATAAATTTAAAGAGTGATTCTTTAACAATGATTGCAGTACATGTGAGTTGGTGTTGCTAAACTGGACTAGAAAAACACGTAATTTTATGTGGGGGGATTGCTTTTGTTTAATTTTTTTCTATTTTTTGGGTGTTGTTTTCAGTGGTTTAATTATAACAGCTGGAAGAGCAAGATGAGTATTTTTGGTTTGCTTAGAAAGAAGTCGGATGATGCAAATGTAGTTCGATTATATTTATAATTAGGGATAGTAGATTGTATGATTTAGTGTGTTGTGTTGTTCACTGTAAACTAATTTTCAATTTGTGCCGGTATGATTTAGTTGAGGTTAATGTAATTCATTGGATGACATTGTTTATATGTTGCCTATGTAGAATACATAAATTAAAACTTTTGCTTACTAATATTTTGAAACCTTTGTGGCATAAACAATGTTGATGCTTTATCCCACCGTCTTACATTTTTTTAATACAATATTTCATACAATTTTCAAACCCGCGGCAACGCGCGGTACTACTAACTAGTGATCCTCTACATTTGGTTAAAAAAAAATTCAGCAATAAATGACCCTCCCATGAACTTGGTCCTTATATGCTTCAGAAAGGGTCAGCCGAGCCCATTTTACTCATTGGGCCAAAAAATGTAGGCCTGAGTAAGACCAAGGCCGCTACTCCTCGAATCCTGGCTGGGCCAGTTTGGCCCAATTGCGGGCCGTTCATGTTCTATAGCTTGGGCTATGTAATTTCTCGTGGCCTTTCTAGATGGGGTTGGATTTGTTTATTTTGATTTCATATTATTTTGGACAAATCTTATTGGTCACAAAACTGTGCATCATGACCAATAATGCATAACCTGTGACTTGCTAACGAACCTTCACATCACAAACTTTTGCACAATTTTGGAACCGAAATGTCAGTGGTTCTCAGAGAAACAAGATTAAATTATAGGAAGTTTTAACGAAAAGCCCACGGTACTGTTCACTTTAACGAAAAATCACATTTTTACACTAAAAAGTCAAACCTGGTACTATTCACTTTACTCTTTATTTTGTCCTTATCATTAAAACTCAAAATTTTCAAGTTCTTTTCATTAGTTTTCCTTAAATTATAATCCTCGCATTTCAAGAAAGTCAGTGGGGTTAATTAATTAATTAATTAATTATTTACAATTATTTTTATTTATATTATATGCCATGCTTTTCTTCTTTTGTGGTTAAGACTAAAGAGGCAGGGATGGAGAATTTGAGATCTAATTTTCTCTGCTGCCCATTTCTTTAAGTAGAAAAATGGGGTTGGATTTGTTTATTTTGATTTCATATTATTTTGGACAAATCTTATTGGTCACAAAACTGTGCATCATGACCAATAATGCATAACCTGTGACTTGCTAACGAACCTTCACATCACAAACTTTTGCACAATTTTGGAACCGAAATGTCAGTGGTTCTCAGAGAAAAAAGATTAAATTATAGGGAGTTTTAACGAAAAGCTCACGGTACTGTTCACTTTAACGAAAAACCACATTTTTACACTAAAAAGTCAAACCTGGTACTATTCACTTTACTCTTTATTTTGTCCTTATCATTAAAACTCAAAATTTTCAAGTTCTTTTCATTAGTTTTCCTTAAATTATTATCCTCAAGCCTTGCATTTCAAGAAAGTCAGTGGGGTTAATTAATTAATTATTTATTTATTTACAATTATTTTTATTTAAAATATATGCCATGCTTTTCTTCTTTTGTGGTTAAGACTAAAGAGGCAGGGATGGAAAATTTGAGATCTAATTTTCTCTGCTGCCCATTTCTTTAAGTAGAAAAATGTGTTTCTCCAAGGCATCTTTTGTCTCCCAAAGACAATCATTTCATGTGCAAGTGTGGATTATTTAACTCATAAATTCCACCAATTGAAAACTAAGAATATGATCAACTCCACTTTGGTTGGTCACTTGGGTTCGTCGTGAGTTGTGACTTTATCATATTGAATGGTTTTCAGTGCATCCAAAAGCACGCTAACGTGATAACATATATATTTATTATTGAGAAATGTTAGAGGATTTTTTAAAGTGAGATTCTTAATACATTATTCATCACTTTAGAGTTTAACGTAAATTTTTGTGCTAACATTATAAATACTATGTAAAAAATATAAGGCTGTAGAGACTAAGGAGTCTATGAAGATTTCAATTTTTGCAAGAGTCTCCTTAGTATTTCTCTTTATAAATAATACTTTAGAAGTGAGACATATTATTTATAACACCTTATCAACTAGAATATTAAATCATGTGTCACTAGAAAGAAAATTTAAATTAATAAATGTTGAGTGACTCATCACCTCAACAGCTGAAAGAAGAAAGCTTGCTTACGTCAAAGATTAATAGTGAAAGAGTTTTATCTAAGAAGAAAGCTTGCTTACGTCAAAGATTAATAGTGAAAGAGTTTTATCTAAAATTAGAAAAAGAAAGAGAGTTTTAATGAAACACTTCTGGTAATGTTCATTTTTAACGAAAAATCATATTTTTACCTTTTCATGGTACTATTCACTACACATGTATTTGTCTTTTTTAATTAAAACTAAAGTTTTATTTTTCGATTTTTCGTTAATCTTCCTAAAAAATAATTGGTTTTAAAACTTTTTTATTCTTTTTTAAAAGATGGACAACTAGTGGCAAGTCAATGTTATAACTTATTTTTGAGTAATACTAAAGGTACTCTCTAAAAAGTGAAACTCTGCATGGATTCGCTACCACAACATATTTTTAGTATAATGTCTTATAATGTTGGCTGGCACGGAACTCTCTCAAGAGTAGAACTCTTCATAGACTCTCTACCACTTCATAGTTTAACATCAATTCTCATACTAATGTTATAAAATACTGTACAAAAAATATAAGGTATCAAAGAGTTCTACTATTACGAGAGTCTCATTAACACTTATCCTTCCGTTTTTTTTACTGAAAATTTTCTCAAAAGTGAACAATGAGTCATAATTACTAGATTTTATTTATATTTTAACTAATGTTTCTTTTGGTAATATTTAAGTAATTTTTTGTTCTACAATCTACTAATGGTTGTTGATTCTGGTGTTGCTTTTAGATTAGGACAACATTCTCCAATTTGTTTATTTAACCCTAATGACCTTTGCATTTGGATAATGCGTTGTATTTTCCACCAATAAACAGCCCAACAAATATGATATTCCCGTCAATGGGTCAAGGTATACCAACTTCTCAATATGCCATCAGATTTTTTATTATTTTTGTCTTTAGGCTATCTCAAATTTGAAAGACGAATATTACAGTAACTTGCAAGTTTTACCGTCTTCGTGCATTTATAAAATGTGAATTTGACTTTTAACTTTTAATTTTGGGACGTTTTGATATAGACCCCTCATTTTTAGGCTTCTTAGATTAAACATCTATTCATTTTAACAATTTGATTAAACATTCTCCTACAATTTTGGTGCCATATGTATTTTAATTAACCCATTGTAAAGTACCTATATTACATACTTTGCCATAGCCTTTAACATATCAAGTTCCTGTATCCAGTTTCTTCACGCCAAAGGATAGAAGGTTCATAGATTCTTGCTAAATAATGCATCAAAACTCCTAAAATCTTGTAGATAAATATTGTAGAACTTAATTTCAATAAAAAGTCTTTCAAATTACACATGAACGTGACTTGCCAGTATATTTAATATACCTTTTAATTCTTAGATAATATATATAAACTCCTAAAATATTGTAGATAAATATTGTAGTATTCAATTTCATTAAAAAGTTTCAAATGACACATAAAACGTATATTTCTTCTTGGTACATATTTGATATGTTACTTAATATATATTCTTGGTACATATTTGGTATGTATTTGGTACGTTTATATATCTTTTTGGTACGTTTATATTTATTTAAAAAAAAAACATATTTGGTACATATATTTCTTCATGGTACGTATTTGGTACGTTACTTTATATATCTTCTTGGTACGTATTTGGTACATTTGTATTTCTTTTTCGTATGTATTTGGTACATTTATATATTTTTGGTACGTTTATTTTTATTTAAAAAAACATATTTGGTATGTTACATTATATATCTTCTTGGTACGTATTTGGTACGTTTAGATATATTATTGGTACGTTTATATTTATTTTCAACAAAAAAGAAAAGATCAAAGAACAAACTGAAAGATACAATGAAGAACATATTTTTGTATACTCCTAATATGAACTAATATACAAGACATACACAAATTACAATTCAATATAAGTCTCGAACTCCTTGTCCATACTGAACTAAACAGCAACAACAATATCACAGCGAGATTATACTGCAGCAGCAAGCATAGTTGATTCAGGCTTCTTTGGTTTATCACAAACAACTCGGCAATTTTTGCTCTTTGACTTCCTCCAACTTTTTTGCAATTTTTGCAATTTTCTTTTTCCAACTTTCCAACGCCAGGATGGATTCCACCGTTTCAACGCCATGAGGGATCCAAACAGAAACAAAACCTGAAAATTAATGGGATACATATCATCTTTATTTGCAATTTGGAAAACTAATGAGGTACATATTATCTTTATATTTGAATTTCAAAATTCAAAAAATATGTTCCCCAACAAATTGCCGAATGAAAAACCCTCTCCACAAATTAAAATTTGCAAATGATCATAAGCAAAAAACAACCTATTCTACAACAACTTATTTACACCAAATAAGATATATTACTATCCTCTCCATTGTTATTAATTGCTTAATTTTTCTCTCGTTTATTTTGTTAAAAATTGGTGTAAAACAGGCCTTTCATAAGCCTTACACGCCCAAGCAAAATACATGCAGAACCAATGTTTATTGGGGCATTTTATCGAACATGTATTGGGCAACTTTCAAATCTTCAAAAACTCAACACAACTCCTCAGTATGCATCTTATAACTTATCAATATAAATGAACTACTAGTATTTAAGCATAAACCAGAAGAAATACAAGCAAACAGAGCATTAAGCAGCAAACCCACAACAAAATAATCAATCCCAATCCCTTTTCGAACCCAGACTAAAATCGACGAAACTACAACTTTATGATAATTATCTGAAAACCTTCTGAACGTACCACAGACAGCAATGTCGATGTTGTAGAGAAGCTCGATAAAACCTTCTAAACGTAATAGCCTCAAGCATCCAAAAATAGAGAATCCATCTAACTATCTCACATGATATCAATATAAAATAGCGAAAATAACCACTAATTGAAATGGATAAGTCCATTCAAAATTCAAAAATGAGGATCACAAAATTCAAACGTGGGAGAAGAATACTGGAAACACAAACCAGCTGCACATCCTACAAAAAAGGACACGTACAGATATGGGGTTTAGGAATATATCAGGCCAAAAGGATATATATGGTATTTAATAATTAACATTTTAAATTTATAAAAACATATAATTTAAATTAATATAAAAATGCTGATGTGGCTATAGTTTAGGCGTTCTAATTAAATTCCAAAATAGAATCAATGTTTGATCTAAAAAGTACTAGAAAAGTGATGGGGATTCTAATTTTCCCTTTAATTTTAATTTTTGCGCATTAAAGAGATTAGATTAAATTTACAGTAAAATATAAATTTTTATATTCTAAAAATAGAGGAGGTCTCACTTTTGACTCTGAGTTATATCTAAAATATATCTTTGCATATTTGGTGGCGGACCGGATTGGTGGTGGATCATGTTGGAGAATAGTATCTCACTTGCATATGACAAAGTAATGTATAATTGATATAAAAAAAATTTATTACCAAAGGTCTCGATGATATTAAGGTGAAAACTCTCACATTGGAGCTAACGCAATTTTCACAAGTTCAGTCATCAAGGCCAATATAATTTTTCGAAGGCCCAGTGATTCAATTCCTTAAGCCATATGAAAACTTTTATATGTTCATTGTATATTATTTTGCCATATGAAAACTCTAATAAATTAATTGTATATAACTTTGTCATATGCACGATGTGCTATCCTATTCTCCAAACAAATATTACCAAAGTCATATATAACGCCGAATTTTTCATTGCATTAGAAATAACTTTACTTTATCAATATGAGATTATTGTTCTCTACTGTGCATAAGGAAACTGTTTTTGACACTCTAAAATTCTCATTTAGCACTTCTAACAAGTGCATTTTTCTTTTTAAATATAAAGATGCAAAATAAAAATTTTAGAGTGCCAATTACAACGTATGTATAATGTTAAGTCTAATTGAATCAGACCATCTTTGTTAGATGTCATACTGAAATGTCAATCATGCCCTTATGGACTATAGTGAAGGTTGCATTAGTATTGACACATATCACAATATGAAGGATATATACATTACCTTGGTAGCTGCCCTTCTTAGGAGTTTGTGTAATTAGGATACAAAGACAAGTTGATAACTTATCGCTTTTATAGTCGAGACACATGAGACAATATGTTAACCCAAACATTGGAGTCATTGTAGAATTTGTTTGAAAACAGACATTAGCATGCATATATATATATATATATATATATATATGATAGATTCGTGACATAGCTTTCAACATATGTTTTTGTGGACTCATTCCGTAATGTATTTTAATTATGTAAATCGTTTATAGTTTAGGTATTCTCTCAAACATCATGCTCAAATCTGAAAGTATATGACCAAGGAATTAAAGGTTTAGGATTTCTTTGTAGAACCATATTTGTTCACTTTCTTCACTACAAATGAATGTCTTAATGATTTTGGATTTGTCTAATTTTTGCAAGGATGATCTACGAATGATGTTCTAATTAAATACAGACGAGTTTGGATCGTTAAAATATATTACGAAATGGCTACCAGAAAAGCTTATGTAAAAAATTGTGTAAAAAAGTGTTGCTGCAAATCCACCCCTATTTACATATATACATATTAATGATATATATAACGAGTTAAACTAAATTTTATCAATAAGTTTGTTTTTCATGTTCACTATTCACTAATCTAACTAAATTAACATGTGATATTTATTTCACATTGTACCAATTTCTTTTAAGAAAACATCTCAAACTTGCGTCTTACTTTGCTATTTAACTTCATTAAGTTTTTGATGTAGGACATGCTTCAACATTGCATATATAGTCTTATAAAATAGTTAATCAGTAGTATGTCTTCAAGTATAAAATTGTTAAACAAACAAATAAGTTTATATTAAGAATATGTGGTTTGTACGAACTCTTGATATAGTGAGATCCTCTCCCACTTTATTAAATGATAGAAAGAAAAAAAAACGTATAAAAAATGAAAGATGCGTAAGATTTTTATTTTATTTATTTTTTATTTTGAAAAAGGAAATCAGTTAGTGGTTTTACCGCATTAATCTATTTTTTTTGTGGACCAAAAAAACTCATAGAAACATTTCAGCCTTTATTTGACCACTATAAGATTTCGTTACATTAAGAAATTGTGAGTTAATTATATCTTCTTGTTTTTTTTGTCAACCACCCAACTTATGTGAGGTTTATATAGTAATGCATCGACTCACATATCATGTGATGTCAACAAACCTTTTTAGCATATAGCCAGCTTGCTTCGTGTGACCCATGTATATCAAACACATTGCCTGCTCAAATGAAGCACTTTAAACTTTATTAATTAATACAACAAATAAATAAGAAACTCATTTAATTAACATGATTCAGTTCCCCATGCCCTGACACAAAATAATATACAAATTGGTGGATTTGGATCATCCAGAACTAAATTGTGAAGATCTTAAAAATTCTCACATCTTAGTTATTTATTGTACATCATGCGGTTAGTAATAATTTTAATTTTATTTAAAATTCAACATAAATAATATCTAACAAAAACTGACTGCACGATATACGATAAACGACTAGAATGTGAGAATCTTTAGAATCCCCACAAAGAGAATCCGGAAAGAATTCTCATCTGTTGGTTTAGGACCAAATCTTATCCCTAACTCCAAACTAGTCATGCGTGCCTAAGCTGCAAATTAATGTACACTCTAGGAAAACCATAATTTAAAAGGAAAACTAATAAAAATAGTTTTAAAACTTTGAGTTTTAACGATTAGGATAAAATAAAGGGTAAAGTGAATAGTACTAAAATTGATTTTTTTAATGTAAAAATGTGATTTTTAGTTAAAATGAACAGTATCCCAAGCTTTTTGTTAAAGTTTTTTTAATTTAGAACCCTAATAGAAGCAAACGATTGTTTAAGGAAAAATACAAAAGAAAGTTGATGATAAAGCGAAGGGGCATCACGCAGACCAAGTGAAAAAGATTAACAACCCTAAACACATTAACTTTCAAAAACAACCTCCCCAAAAGTCATGCCCGCAGCTATCCCTCACATGCCTTGATATCCCAAAAACCCCTATAAAAAATATAAGGGCTAATTTTGTTTGAACTTAAAAGGTTTGAATTGATTGTCAAAATCAACTATAAGATTTAATATTTTCAAATTGTATCATAAGTTTTGAGATCTTATCAATTTATGCCTTTCATCATTTTAACTGTGTAATTCTTTGTGAAATTGAAGACATTATAAGTTATCGTATATGACCACTTGCATTACATTAAACCAAAACTAATCATCATGGTGGAGTTTCGACATCTCCTCTACTAATGCTTCGTATTCCAAATTGACAATCCATCACACATTTTGGTTCTAATGGTATAAGTATGACTTCTACACAATTCATAAAAGGTTTGGCATCAGCTATATTATTAATTTAATGCAAAGGCCGCGTTAGAGGGAGCGAAAGGTGCAATCACACTGAACCCTAACTTTGGAGGGCCCCTAGAAATTTTTATCATGTAATATTTATGGTAATAATGCTTTACATTAAAAATTATTGCTTTTATTAACACTTTAAAATCTTATTGTGCACTCCTTATAAGTGTATGCATTTTTCTTTCTAAAGATAAAAATTTTGGAGTGAGATATTTAGAGAACAACACCCTTAAAAAGTTTTTTTTTCTCTTTTAAATTTATTATACAATAATGCCATATATTCAAGTGAAACTTCAAAGTTAGAGTATGTAAACTTTTATTTTTCTTGTTTGGTTGTTTAAGATTGACTTGTTTTTTACTATTTAGTGAAGGTTATGTTTATAATTCTTTTTTACTTGTTATTTAATAACATTTGTAAACTTACGATCAATGAGTCATTATTTTTCAGCATCAATATATTGTCTTACTTTTTGTTGAAAAATTATCTTAAGAAGGTGCTTTTTATAAATTTTGCACAAGACGTCCGAAATCTTAAAGATGGTCGTGATTTAATAAAGAGTTAAACAGTTAAATAGATAGAATACATAAATTTATTCTATTTCAAAACTCCATAGTTTAATGAAAAACAATTGGGACAACGACTCCCTTTTTAAAAATTAACCAAAACATGGAAGATGCAACATGTAATTAACAATTACTTAAAATAATAACAAAACAAGGGCTATTTCGTCATTTTAGCATACAGGTTTGCGAAGGTGATATACCACCCTTCCTTTTTCCGGACAGTGGACGCTGCAAGCAATATTTAATCACGTTACAGCCGCGATCCGGCACGCTAACTTACGCTTGGTGGGCAGTGAGAGCGCTGGTCTACAGGCCCGCGTGTCGCGATTTCCTTGGCTTGTAATTTGACGTGGAGACATATTAGAAAAGGTGTGCAAGCAACCAAAGTGCGCTTTTTAGCATCTGCCTTCCTCCTCAGAATCGCAAATCATTGTTATTATTTGTTCAATTTCCCACCCTTCATCATCACCTACTTGCTCTCTCATTTGCTGTAAAATACTCACCCAACCTCTCCAACATCCTCTCTCTCTCTCTCTAAAATCACCATTGCTATTCCTCTTCCAAATCTTTCTCATCAAAATTCAGAAAACACAGCTTTAATTGTAAAAGCTCAGTTCAATTCAGAAGCATTAGCTATTTCTTCATCAGCTGAATGCGAAGAGATTTGCAGAAATTGTACGGTCAGAAGGGTTTTTGTTTTTGTTGTTTAAGCAATATATATATATATACACACACACTTATTTATCTATATATATTGTGATCCTTCTTCTGCTTCTCGGTGTTTTCTGAGAGATTGAGAAACGACGCCGGCCGGAAAGTGTGGACGGAGGAAAAGTCAGCGTTGCGCACGTGAGGTGGCACGTGACCTGTTGGACTTTTGGGGTGTGTTAGTTTTATTTGGTTTGGTTGGGTTGGGGTGTCGGGAGGTCCGTGAAGAATGCCTCACAGAACGACTTACTTCTTCCCGAGGCAATTCCCGGATCGAAGGTTCGATTCGTCGTCCAAACAGCTGTTGCAAGAAGATCATCACGATCACGAGAAAGTAACCAAAGACAGCGACACTGCCACTACCACCACCACCACAACTGCGGCCAGAGATAGAGATGATTACCAACAAAAGGTGCCCAAAACCGCCACCAGCAACTTGGACAAATCCTCAGCCACTACCACTTCTTCTCTGTCTTCCGATGTTCAGTACTTCACGGGCCACATCGATGAAAGGAAGCCACCGCAGTTGGCCGACTTTCTCAACTGGTTCCTTCATGACAAGAAGGGGACCAGTACTCGATCCAAACCATCGAGTAGTGGCCACCGTCCTCGTCGCGTTAGGGTAACAGGGAGGTTGTCCTCTTCGTGCCACCTTGTTGACGAGGATCGCGAGCTGTTGCTGCCTCGTCGTCATCATCATCATGATGATGATCACGATAATCATGTGGCTGAGGCTGGCCCACCGCAGATGGCGCCGGAGTCCACCACGACTGCTATGCTCAAAGACCGGAGTGTTGACCAGAGCTTTGACCGGCAGGTGTCCCTGCCGAGGGTTTCGAGCGGGAGTAGCTACGCAGGGAGCTTGTTCTCAGGAACGACGACGTTGGATGGGAACTTCTCTGGGGATGTTAAGGACTCGTCAGCGACGACGAGGCATTTGGAAGTGGAGGAAGAGGAGGTGGAACAGGAGAGTGCTAAAGTGAGCTTGTCTCAGAGGTCTAAGCAAAGTTATCATTTGCAGCTTCTTTTGGCCAAGAGGCTTTGTTCTCAAGCTACTCTTGGTGCTGAAACAATGCTTTTGCACGAGACTACTACTCAACTTGAGGTTACTGATGCTGAGACGGTGTCGTATCGGCTCTGGGTACGTTTACTCTCTCTCTCTCTCTCTCTCTCTCTCTATATATATATATATATCCCTATTTATCATATGCGGGTTAATTTTGCATGAACTGCGGATGGATATCCTATTTGTATATTTTTGTTCTTGGATAAGGCCATTAATAGACATGGAGCTAACGAAAGACTTGGTGCAAACTAAGCTCAATTTTCAGACAACCCCACTTAATTAGTGGGATACAACTTTGTTGTTGTTTTTGTTTGATAAAATGGTTCTATTGCTAATATGTCCAAGAATTTTGTGGTCCATTCCAAAATCAGCCTTTGTATGCTCCAGGGAGAGAAAATAGATGTTTGTATCACTTAATTAGTTAATTAAAAATATATAGAGTATTTCCAATTCTGCTGCGCAGCTGCGCTTGTAAAATTCGTACATAAACTCGAGTATGTAGAGAGAAATGCATACTTGCGGGACTTATGTTGTCAAAGCGCAATAAATTATATACCTATGTCTTTGATTTATGCCACCAAGATCTTGGTGAATTGGTTCTGAACTTGAAGGTCGGAACTTTGATTGGAAATTTTTCTAAATTCCAATCTTCTGTAAGGAATTTGTACATTTCTAACCTTGTAGATCATTTTTAGTGAGTATGAATTTCATATACATTTTCCAGGTCAGTGGCTGCTTGTCTTACAATGACAAGATATCAGATGGTTTCTACAACATTTTAGGGATGAATCCATATCTTTGGGTGATGTGCAATGATGTAGAGGAAGGTAAAAAAATACCGTCCTTGATGTCACTTAAAGAAGTTAAACCTGGTGAGACATCAATGGAGGTGCTTCTTGTCGATAAAAATGATGACGTTCGCCTCAAGGAGCTTCAAGATAAAGCACAGCAACTATCTTGCACTACAGAGAGTACTTTAGTGTTGGTGGAGAAACTTGGCAAGCTTGTCGCAATCTATATGGGGTGGGTTTCAATTTTCCCCCCTTTTAACTTGAACAATGTTTGGTTCGTTAATTATATTGTTTCTGAGTCGCTTAAACTTGAAGGGGTAATTATCCCGCGGAGCAAGGAGATCTACACATGCGTTGGAAGGTGGTTAGCAAGCGATTGAGGGATTTTCACAAGTGTATTGTGCTCCCCATAGGCAGCCTATCAATGGGGCTTTGCAGGCATCGTGCCATTCTTTCAAGGTGACAACTTGTACCTCATTTTTTGCCTATTTATGTTTATAGTCTGCTCCTTTTCGTTCTGAATGACTGTAAAAGAAAATACGAGTGTTGTCTGAAAGCTATTGTCAATTAGTTTCATTTACATTGGGCCGGTTAGTTGATATCTTAATTATTTAGGGCGTGTTTGTTTGCCCTCGTTAGAGTTCACTGGATTGGATTACTTTGCTAAGACTACTAATCCCGTGTTTGATGCGAGTTGGACTAAACTTGAATGAGACTAAGTCGGACTCGTTCTGACTAAGTGCTTCGCTAGGTCGTCCTAGTGAGACCCCCCAAAAAGCATGGGATTCCTAATCCCGTCTCCAACATCGTTTGCACGCCTTTGTCGTCTGCAACTCCGACTCCCTTACCCATGCCCAGATCTCAAACCCACTACCTAAATCTCAAAATCAAAACCTAAAATTCAAAACAAAAAAATGCAAAACCCCCAGATTTAAGCACCTGCAGACCCCCACACAAATTCAAAGTATAAAGGCAAAATCACCAGAAAGTTTTGACATTTTCCTAGAAAGTCGGTGAAGGCACTGGGTGGAGAGCTCCGATAAATCCTCTGCGCGAATCTCTGCATAAGGAAAAGAGGGGGAGAGTGGATGAGGAAAAGTGGGAGAGGGGAATGAGAGAGTGGGTAGAGGAAAATAGAAAGAGGTATACGGAGAGAAAGAGAATTCTAAAAAAATGGTGAAACAGGATACAGAGAGGAGAGGGAGAGACTGGCGGAGGAAAAGAGGAATGGGTTAAGATGAAAAAACATGAAAAGATATTGGCAGACAGAGAGATGATTCTAGAAACAAAAAAAAAATGATAAATTAATAATAAATATAGATTAAATAATATAATATTTGAATCTTTTAGTTATCTGCTTCTTAGTCCGACACTGCACCAAACGCTTCATTAAGCTAGTACAGCTTAGTCTAGTCTAAGCCAATCCAGCTTAGTCCCTGCAGCTAGTCCAGTTCGAGACTGTCCGGTGCAACAAACGCACCCTTAATGTTTTTTGAAGGCACTCTCTTAATTGTAAAATTTAGGACTCATGTTAAATTGTACAACAAATATTTCAACATATATGAATATGTGGTCAGGGTGCATCCGTTTTACATGAGAATGCAACTAAACTATATAGAGCTATGAGTTTTCGTCCTTTGATCATTCGGTAAGGTATATGTAGCTTTTTGAGGTGTACTAACACAATTCTTGGCGATGTAATTTTTATGGGGTTATAGGGGAAGACCATGCCTATTCCTATCCTTTTGCACATACACCTATTTAAATGCTTTGCAAATAAGGCAACACATTCGAGAATTCAGTTATTTCTTGCTTCATTATCTACTCTTCGAGCATATCGTGTACAAATCATAATATTCGATCTTTTTATAATGTTATATCGGAACCTACTGGGTTGCTTATGTCGTTTCAAGCGGAATGAATGGATACAGAATTTGTTTTCATTTGTGCTTGTGTGCTGTCGACTGGTGGTGTTTTAAGTCCATATGAGATATTATTGTTTTCTTATTCTTTATAACTCAATTCTATATTTCCAACGTGCAGAAATTGGCAGACCACATAGGTTTGCCTTGTCGCATAGCTCGTGGTTGCAAGTATTGTGTGGCAGATCACCGGTCCTCTTGTCTTGTTAAAATTGAAGATAACAGGAAGGTTTTGAGGTTAGAAACTTTAATTGTTGCGGAGTATTGTTGCTGGCAGATTTTATTTTATTTCCTATACATGATTCAGCATATAAATTCATTATGACATGTAGATATTGACAATTAGTTCCTTGTTTGGGTTTTGGTAGTATCTATTTCCCGAACGGATATTTAGCCATAATGTTACTTCTAGAGTTTATGTTCATTTGATCTAAGGGCATCAATCTTTTTTCCTTCATCCATACCCTCTGCAGCATTAAATCTTTGCTGAATTCTTGGTCAGCACTCTGCCGTTTCTCAGTCTCACTGTTTTCTTAACTTTTGGTGTTGAAAAGATTTAGCCATGGTTCATAACTAACTTGATTGTTGTCAGATGAGTTCACATTAGATCAAATGAATATAAACTCTATTGTTTCCACGTTGTTTTTATGGTGTAAATATGCATTTGATTCTGAGTACCATGTCATGCATGGTTGAAGAGAACGTTATTGTTTCCAACTGTTCGTTTAATTCAGAATTTAACGTATGTTTTTCATGATGGTTATACATATATTTTTTTAACAGGGAATATGTGGTTGACCTAGTTGGGGAACCAGGAAACCTTCATGGTCCAGACTCCTCGATTAACGGAGGAACTCTTTCTTCTATACCTTCACCACTTCAAATTTCTCATCTAAAAGAATCCAAACAACCTTACAGGGATAGTGAATTATATTGCCAAATCACAAACTCAAAGCACACGGGTGCTCCTCCTGAAGATCCCTTTTATGCAGGTATGTTTTGTAGCCTTGAAAATACATGTTCCAATTATTTTTGGAGTACTAGAAATTGAAGGGAATCTGAATGAACTACAAGGTAGAGGCATTGCTATTGCTACAACGATTATATTTTTGTCTAATTATAAACTGACAACCGTTAGATTTTTGTTTTTTTGTTTTGTTTTGTGCATTGATACGGAGAAGAAAACGTTTATTATGCTACCTGATTGTACTTTTGATGATTTGCATAATCCATGTGGTACCGTTTTTATCCTTTCTCGATAGCTTCTTCAATCTTTATAGATCAATCTCTTACAGGCGGTGGGGAGGGAGGTCAAATCATCAAGGAAACCAGTTTGCTTCCAGGTGATCAAACTAGATTTGGGTTGGAATCTTCTCTGATGCGATTGGAATTGACAGGAAACGCTCCGCATTGCCTTGTTCAGAGTGACATCCCACCTTGTGTCCAGGGTGATGCTTCGGAAGCTCTTGATGTTACTGCTACTACTGCTGTGGCATCATTAGAGGAATGTGCTAGACTTAGCGAAGAAAATGTTGTTGTACAACAAGCTTACAGAAAGGAGATTGTTGTATCAAGAAATCAGGTTATAAGCAACAGTGTTGAGCAACCTAAAGTAACTTTGTACAGCCAATCAGATCTAGAGGGCGTTCATAGTGAACTTGTGAAACAAGGTAGAATTACTGCTGTGACTACCCCAAGGTACTTGAATCTTGAACCGTCTCTCGCAATGGACTGGCTTGAGATCTCATGGGACGAGTTGAATATCAAAGAGCGTGTTGGTGCTGGTATTTATCCTCCCCTATTTTTAACTAGATGCAAATTTACTTGGTTTTATTTGATCAATCACTACTCTTCCCTTCTAGTTCTACCTGAAATCTCATACTTTGCTACTTTCCAGGCTCATTTGGGACAGTGCATCGTGCTGAATGGAATGGATCGGTAAGTTTTTTCTTTTTTGTGATTGGGCGGCGACTGTTTGTGTATGTGAGAAATAGTGGGTTGGTTATGACGTGCATACTTTTCATATGCTGTATCTGTGTGGTCTGATCACGAGGACAAATTTGATGAGTGGTATATTGCTTAATATCGTATGGCTGCAAAGTTTGGACCGTGTGCCTTTTCTTTTTCTCATTCCATCTTCGGGACAGGTCTAGTAACTATTAGTGTTTCAGAGGAAGAACTTAAGCAATTTATCAATTTAGATGATCAAACAGAATTTAACTTTCTGCTTAATTTGTTCCTTCTTCTCCTGATGTCTTCAGTTGGATGCTGAACATCTGTCTTGAAATATATCATCGTAGTTTTCTGTACTTGAACCTAATTATTTTTTTCTTCTTTTTTCATCTTCTAATTGAGTTTAATTTTGGTGCAATACAGGATGTTGCTGTTAAGGTTCTAACTGTTCAGGATTTCCATGATGATCAATTGAAAGACTTTTTACGAGAGGTAGGTTTCCTTTTTATGCGTATCAGAAATATGTACATTTTACATTGAAGCCTCTTAGCTGAAGTTGATCTTCACATTGTATTCAGGTTGCAATTATGAAACGTGTTCGTCATCCAAACGTAGTTCTTTTCATGGGTGCGGTTACAAAGCGTCCTCATCTATCTATAGTGACTGAATATCTGCCAAGGTAATCGGCTATTTTTTTTTTCCAATTTTATTTATAGACAGTTAATTAAATGTGTACAAATACTGGAGCCCTTTTTATGTCTGAACCCGTTGGTATCCTGGTATTCGTGGAGCAGGGGTAGTCTTTATCGCCTCATTCACAGGCCAGCTTCCGGGGAACTTATGGATCAGAGGAGGCGGTTGCGAATGGCACTAGATGTGGTTTGTGCAATTTAGCATCATCATTTTCCTTCTTACATGGCAACTACGTTTTCTGTTAGTTAACTCTATACGTCATCTTCCCTGCAGGCCAAGGGTATCAATTACCTCCATTGTCTTAACCCTCCTATTGTCCATTGGGATCTTAAGTCTCCAAATTTGTTGGTTGATAAAAATTGGACAGCGAAGGTATATTTAGATAAAGAAAGAGGTTGCCATTGTGTCTTGAGTTCTCCGGTTGGGTGTTTGTGGACTTAATTTGTTTCATTTATTCCTAGGTATGCGATTTTGGGTTGTCCAGATTTAAGGCGAACACTTTCATATCATCCAAGTCCGTTGCTGGAACAGTAAGTCTCTCTCTCTCTCTCTCTCTCTCTCTCTCTCTCTCTCTCTCTCTCTCTCTCTCTCTCTCTCTCTCTACATGTACATGAGTGTGTCATCGTGCACAGATTCACATAATATCAGTTGCACATTTAGCCCCCAATGTAGTACTGGTGCCAAACGAGGCATTATCGTCTTTTATTAAAGCCAATGATGAATCTTCATTATGTGAATGAATAATCTGGTAGTCGAATTCATTGTTTCCAAGAATTAGGATTGAGATGTACGCCTTGAAATGTTTGTTTGGTGTTTTGTCTCACAAATTAGTTGTAGTTGTTTCGATGGATTGGTATATACGTTATGAATGCTGTGTGCAAGTTACCCTGAACTCTTTTGTATGTACCCCCATGTAAAGTCGGGTATTTCCATCAATATTTCTGCAGGTTTAAATTTTAGTTCGCAGTGCATCAATCAACATGTAACTCACTCAATTTAATTTTCAGCCTGAGTGGATGGCTCCAGAATTCCTTCGCGGAGAGCCCTCAAATGAGAAGTCTGATGTTTACAGTTTCGGAGTGATCCTATGGGAACTTGTAACCATGGAACAACCTTGGAACGGTCTTAGCCCCGCCCAGGTACATGTCGTGATCAGCATCTCCTTTCTTCCAGCCTTGTCCTGCACATTCATTCTCTATTTTCTTTGTTTTCCCTCCTATTAACTATGGCAAAAGACGTCGTTCAATCTCTCAGGTAGTTGGAGCCGTTGCTTTCCAGAACAGAAGGCTTGCTATCCCGGCTAATACTCCCCCAGTGTTGGCTTCGCTTATGGAATCCTGCTGGGCTGAGTAAGTCTACCCGATATCTTCCCACTCGTTGTCATAATATACATTACGGATAACCTGATCGGAAGTGTATGCTGGGGGCCAAGACACTACTCTCTTTTCCACACGTAGTGTCGAACATAGAATGCGACTAACTGGCCCTTACATCTCCTTGCGTACTTATGTAGACATACAACAAAAAACGATCTTTGGGACGTCAAAATAGTAGCACCTGTGGAATCTTGTTCGTTTACATGTTTAGTTCGTGATGTTTGTCTATTTTCTTCGCAGTGATCCAGCCCAGCGCCCGTCTTTTGCTAGCATAGTTGAGTCGCTAAAGAGGTTGCTAAAGTCTCCTCTGCAGTTGGTACCGGTGGGCGGAACATCCCCCTCTGCCCGGACCTGAGACCGTTATACCTGAGACCGTTATACTTCGGCAGTCGAATTTCTACAACTGACCGAGCTTCTTTGGTTCTTGGCAATTATATATACTCGTTTCTTGCTTAACCCGATGACCGTCAAATAAGCCGAAGTTAAATACATTTCCTTCCGCGTTAATTTGAGTTTCTAGTGCCAGTATAGCATATGGTTTAACAATGTACCCGAAATATCAAAGGGTATATTGTGCTGAAGGAAAGGAAGAGGGATTTACTAGATAAATTATCAAAGCGTGCTTTTGATGTATTATTATTATCCAAATTAATCCGTCCTCCTTCCTTTTATTCATGTTTTTATTGGTTCATATTTTAGCTATGTTTATATGAATCAAAGAAACTGACGGTTATCCTGTCAAAATAAAAAGAGAATGTGAGCTACAAATTACTCACATGGTAATCAAATAACTTAAAAGAGTTATTTATATTTAGTTTCTTTACATTTAGGCCCTTGGAGCTCTTAAACTTTAAATAAAACCCAGATTTTAAATATGTTGTCATGTTGGATAAAAGATGTCCATGAATTTGTATTTATTTACAAAATCATGCTAGCAAACCTCTTATACTTTTTCTTCGGACATTTAATTTGTTTAATATAACTTAATTTTATGCCACCAAACCTCTCACCAAGTAACCCAGCGGTAAGGGTGCGGATTGCGGCTCTTCGCTAAATAAATAAATGTGGGAGGTCTCGGGTTTGATGCTCCGAGCTGGTGAGTCATGAGTCTACCTGACTGTGGTCATGGATATGGTAAATTTCTCCATAGCCTATTCGGGCCGAAAGAAGTAGAAAACCATGGCTTGTCACTAGTTGTCCTCATTTTTAAGAAAAAAGAAAAAGAAAAAAAAACCATCTTCCACATATTATGTATACTAGTACCATAAAAAAGAAGTAGGTAAATTAATTTTGTTAAAAATTATAAAAGTAGGTACATTAACTTTGTAAAAATTGAAAAATAGGTACATTATTTTCATAGAAATTAGAAATTAAACCATAGGTAAGTTATTTTTATAGTAGGTAAATTATTTTCATATAATTATACAACAGGTAAATTATTTTCATAAAATTAAAAAATAGATATTGTTGAAACTAAACACTAATTTAGGTATGTTCAAATTGAAATTTCATGGCTAGAAGACCTTGCCGAATTCAATGCACGTAAATTAAAACGAAATTACAAGGCATTTTCATACTAGCTTAAATGGGGGTATTTTAGGAATTCAAAAAATTAAAAAATTAACACACAAACTTAATTTGATAAGTTGCTTAGTTAGATTCTAACCATTGCGTTTTATTCGGATAAATATAATATAATGTGTTATAGGCAAAAAACAGGGGAGTATTGAGGGGTAAGGTTAAATTTTCAGTTATTTAAAGAATAGTCATTCGTCGGTGGAAAGGTTGAAGCAAGTAAGGCAGGCAATGCAAACACCAATAAGAAGGCGGCTTCATTAATATCCCAAAAGCCAAGTCGCAATTTCTAGATGGTCAAAATAGTCGACCCCGTCATCGGTCTCCCCCTTCCCTCTCTCCCTTCTCAATTTCCCCATATCTACCAATCCTCCCTAAACCCAATTCCCAAACACCCACTCATGGATTTCCTTCAATCCCAACTCCGATACATCAATTCCCAAACAGAGGAATCGGCTCCGATCGACAAGTCCCGAATAGCCAAGGACATTCTTCTCCAAGCCGGCCTAATCCTCTTCGTCGTCGTCGCCTTCCTCACCATCCACAACATCCCCCAGAAGCTCTTCGCTAAACTCCGGTACCGCTTCCGTAACAAAACCGCCGCCCGGGCCAAGCGCCACTTCGTCCTCGGGGCCCAGCTCCTCGCCCAGTCCCGATCCGCCGACTCCCTCGCCTCCTCCGCCTCCCTCTCCCAGCAGGCCCTCGACGAGGCCGAAAAGGCCATCGCGCTCGTCCCCAAGGACGCCGCAGCCCACATCCTCAAATCCCTCGCCCTCGACGCCCAGGGATTCAAGACCTCCGCACTCGACGCCATCGAGGTCGCGCTGTCCCCTCTCTGCCGCAAAAGCCTGACCGACGAGGAGCGCGGCGATGCGGTCGTCAAGAGGGCGGAGATCATGCTGTCGATGAACCGGAAAGCCCAGGTTGACCCGGTGATCGAGGATTTGAATCGGGCTGTGGAGCTGAGTCCGGAGAATGTGAAGGCATTTTGTACGTTGGGAGAGTGCTACGAGGGGAAGAAGATGACGGAGGAGGCCAGGAAGGCTTACGAGGCGGCGCTGAGGGTACAGCCCAGATTGAAAGCCGCCATGGACGCTCTCGAACGACTCGGTTCGAGTTAGGCGCGTGGGCTCGGCCCGGGTTAATTTCGGATTCCCATTTTTATTTTTGTTTTGTAGTTTCAAATTTGTGGTATTTCGTTTATGATAATCATCAGGATATTTCATAATACGAGAGTGTTTTCAATTTAAACAACGAGAACTTAGATTCGAATTTAACGCTACTTACAACTTTGAAAATACGAGAATTAACATTAGGACTTCGTCTGAAAGTTTTTTTTTTTTAGTAAACGTGCTAATATCGTAAGAAATTTTTCAAGATATAGAATATGAATTATTAGGATAGTATCTTATCCTCCTAAACAAGAATTTGCACAAAAGGAAATTAAAAAATAAAAATAAAAATGGGAAAACTCGAAAACAAGACTGAGGTTGGATTCCCTTAAAAGTGACTACCAAATACACCGTGTTTTTATGCAAGTGGTGAAAAATTTTAATTTTTAAGTTATTACACTTTTAACCCACGTAATCCACCATTTATATAGAAACACCAGGAACACGTGGTGTATCACCTCGTGTGACGATCACACTGAAAAATCTATCACCAAATACAGAGATATCCCTATCTTTGGCGCGCTTGCATGCATGCATGTATGAAAATTAACAGACAATATCAATCCATATAAAGAACAAGTCCCATGAATATTAACAAAAATAAAATAAAAAATCACAACCAACTCACGTTATAAGTTTCTGAATCAAATTACAAATTTTCTTTTGCCAATAAAATCTGCCCCAGATATGATATTATCCTACAAATATATATAACTCAACAAATCTTGTCTGATATAGTAGATTGATGATTGTGCATCCAATGTACCGTACAACAGAAAATCTCCTGCATTAAATTCTCGTTCAAAACCGTATCTCCTGGGTAAGTATGTAGCTCTTTTCTTGCTATATATATAGAGCATAGGCTGTTTGTGGTATATCACATCCCTCAAAAGCTTCCTTCTTCTCCAGTCTGTGCTTTCGTCTCATCTCCGACGAACCATGACTAGAACGAAAGTGAAACTGACCTACATCAGCAACGACTCGGCGCGAAAGGCCACGTTCAAGAAGAGAAAGAAGGGTTTGATGAAGAAGGTGAGTGAACTCAGCACCCTTTGTGATGTTAAGGCGTGCGCGATTATTTACAGCCCGTATGACTCCCAGCCGGAGCTCTGGCCATCGCCGTTGGGAGTCCAGCTGGTTCTCGCACAGTTCAAGACCATGCCGGAGATGGAGCAGAGCAAAAAAATGGTGAACCAAGAGAGTTTCCTGCGGCAGCGGATTACCAAGGCCAACGAGCAATTGAAGAAACAGAGGAAGGAGAACCGCGAGAAGGAGATGACGAGAGTGATGTTCCAGAGTCTGATGGGGAAGTCCCAGCTCCACGGTTTGAGCATGGTTGATTTGAACGATTTGGGGTGGCTGATTGACCAGAATTTGAAGGAGATCGACAACCGGATGAAGAATCTGAATGAACAGGATTCTAAGAGCCAAGTGCAACTACAACCAACGGCGCTGCCTGTAGCTGCCGCAACTGTGGCGGAGTGTGGAGTGGAGAGGCAGCAGGGTTTTGAGCTTAACAATAATGTGGGCACGGCGGTTCAAAGGCAGCAGCAGCCGTTTTTCATGGACATGATGAACGTCCCACAAGATCATCAGCAGCAGCAAATGGTAGGGATTGGTGGTGGATACGAGATGAATATGCTGCCGTTTGCGGCGGATCAGAGCCAAATTAATGCTATTTGGTCCAATAGTTCATTTTACCCTTGAAATTTGCTTCTGTATTATGGTTTGTTTTTATGATTCAGCCTCGAACCATATGGTAGGGTTTTAGTGTCGAGGCTTGCAAACATTGCGTGTTGTTCACCCTTTGATTAATCTTATGTAATAAAGTTAGACCACATCAAATGATGTTTTCAACTTTTAATAATCTATGAAATGCGGTTCTGCTCCATATCATTTAGGATCAACTCCATGATAGAATTTTTAGTTGGCTTGAAATACGAACACAATGTCATATATCATTATACAAGTATGAAAATATTTGAAAAATAGAAAATTCTCTAGTTATATAATTATATATGCTGTACCGATTCGTATTCCAGACAAATTGAAAAATCTCTCCAACTCCAGTCACAAACCATTAGGTTGAAACACATGCCATGTAGATTGGTAATGGGGTTTGAGTTTTGACCATATTTACCTCATATGCCATCATGCTGACTTATTATTATCTTAAGGTAAAATTACAATCTATCCCTTGTTCACAACATTTTTTTTATTCAAACTTTATTTGTTTTATTTGTTTTCAGTTTTTGACATAAGTCTCTTGACTTTGTCCACATCAGCATTTTTGCATTTAAAACATTATACCATTTTGCTTAAGTTTTTGTTAACCTAAACAACCCATCAAATATATTATTATAATTGGCTCATATATGCATATTAATTTTCGGATTTTCGTACCATGAATTAAGATCTCATCTCTTCTTACATTTTAGGCAAAACAAATTATGATTAAGTTAAAACCAGAAAGTCCAATTGAAACCTAATGTCCCTCTTTTGTGTAAGTCAGACTCTTCCTTGCTGTCATTTTTTTCTCCATGACCACATGCCTCACCTATGCTTTTAAGCTCTCATCCAAAAGGATCACTTCTCCCTGTCTCTCCATCCACGGTACATACATACTTAGCTTTTGTAATCTGTTTCTTTTTCTTTTTGTGGGCTAGTCAGTTTAATATGGACGGAGCCTTTTGTTGTCTGGTTCAGGAACTCGTAATATGGGTACATGCCCTTGATTTTGTTTAACAAAAAAAGCATAATTATGCCAACGAGGATTGGATCAGTTGGTAAGGTCCATACTTTGTATGTCGCCTTGGTCGAGTTCTGCTGTCAACAGTCATCGTTGGTGTGTGATATGTGAATTCCTATCGGTAGTAGTTGGCAGTTAGATGCTACACGTAAGTCATTCCAACTCGAGGTTGTAGGTATGTCCTAATGGTGAGAGTATCCAATCCCCCTCTAAACTTTTCGTTGCCAAAAAAATAAAAAGATAACTTTTTCATTCTCAGCTGATACATTTTTTTTATTTTTTTAAGGATTACATATATGATGGGTAAAATGTTTTCCAAGTGTATGTAATGGCACAATTTTTGTTGTTGGTTGAATTTGTACCCACAAATTAATATTTGTACGTGTGTATCCATAGTATTTAAATATTGTACACATGTTTATATTCTTTGTTAATTTTTCTGTCTTCTTTATGCGCTTTTTTATGAGGTGAATGTATTTTTCGGTCATAAGGGTACATTTCTATTGCAAAATTTTTTTTATTGATTTTGCAATTGGGTCCGTCTATATGAGTATATGGGTACACTATTCTGTGGTGTATTAGATTTAGATTTCAGTAATGGTATATTTTCCAACATAAAAATGACGAGAGAAAAGATTATTTGGTAAATTAGTACAAACCATGTTCAAAACAACAAAACGTTCTAAAAAAATATAAGCACAGCTTGCAACCAGTGGTACATTTAATCATGGTTGAGGAAGGTAATCAGGGCACATTTTGTAGTTAATGGGTACAATATTGTTTTGTGTTTGTTTCCTTAATACTCTTATTTACATTGGTACATTGCAAATCTTATTTGTTTACAATTTGGTTTTCTTTGAATTTAGGTGATAAAGATAAGAATTTTGAATTTCTAGGATTACATTGATTCAGACAATTAATTATGCCAATTGTGAAAAAAAATTAATTACCTTGAAAAAGTACAATTTTTAATTTAGAAAATAAAAAAGTTGATGGAAATCTATTATTACTAACATGCTGAGGTGTACAAAATCAAAGAACGTTGATAAAAATTTGAAAACTAATAAGATTTCAGTAAAAAAAATATTAGTGGTTAAGAACCGCGTTCAAAGTCTCCCTTATTTTCATCTCATAATTCATTCAGACTTTGTTGCTACCTTAATTCCATATTTATTTCTGTTTCGGGAGACGATTTGGAATAAGAATGATTGGTTGGCTGGTTTAGCGACCCTTAATTGTTCTCCATGTCAATATTTGTGATGATTTATCAAACCTATCATTTGGTTTATTACTTTATAATGCTAATCAACCTCTTCAGCAGGTTAATTAGATGATTTATCAAACCTATCCATGTTGTTTATAATGTTAATCAACCTGTCGTTTTTGTATTTGTGATGATTTTTCAAACTCATTTAATGTGATTTATATTGTTAATGAACCTATGTTAAGGACCTTTGGTTAAATTTGTAATTTGAGGAACCTATCCATGTAGTTTATAAATCTATGATATCAACGACTAAAATTTTAATGTCAAATATCAATGTACAATTGTTTGGACCCAAAATATTAGGTGTGGGCCAACTATAACTGTGGGCTTGACACATAACAGAGATCTTTGGCCCATGTCGTGTTTTTGAAACGTTAAGTCCAGCCCAACGTAGGATGGCTGAATCCTAATAGGTGAAGGCCTCTTAAGGAGTCAGGTTGGAATGATTAGGCTAAGTCCTAATATGACTGATTTTGTTTTAAAGATCAAGATGAACATTGGTAGGATTTGTGATATTCCAAGAATCAAGGTTCATGGTTCATCATGATCATGAGTGATTTGAATATAAAAAAGGGACTGGATTCAGAGTCCCAAGTCCAGTAGGAGTGACCGAGTTCCATGCAGAGATCATGATGGTTTGATATTGGATCAAGGAATGCTGAAGAGGTATAATCCAAGTAGGACTCTACTTCGATATGAAGTGATTAGCACGAAAAATCACTCCTATAAATAGAAGAAGTTATGCAACATTCAAAAGACCTTTAATTCAACATACAAAAATGCCCTGCAATCTCGCTCTACATGAAACCCTTTCATCAAACCTTTGAGAAAACACCAACCTTCCTAACTTCGTCAACACACCTTCAGTTTAGATTAACAACAATGCGTTGAGAACCGGCAACATTAATGATGGGATTTTTAGCACCTGCGCAAATAGGGTTAAAATCACTGAAAATACTTACAAGAATATAAGGTAATTGTAGTATAATCGCTCATGCAAGGTCATTGAATGGAAGAACCACTGCAAGCATGAGAGCTTTTCAAACTTTTATGGCTCAAGCAAGTTTGTTAGACTTAGGATTTGAAGGATACCCTTATATATGGAGGAATAGACGGGATGAGGGGTTTATCCAGGAAATACTAGATCATGTGTTGGCCACGCATAATTGGGTTCAAAGTTATCAACAAGCAGTAGTGAAACACGTGGTGTTGGAGGGCTCAGATCATGCTATGTTAGTGCTATCAACGGAAGTGAATCAACCTAAGCGTAAGAAACAGTTCATGTACAATCCTCGGTACAATTAGAATCCAAAATGTGATGAGGTGGTGCGTGATTGCTGGGGTGGTGCATACGGTGGAACTCATGCACAACATCTCATGCATAATCTTTGCAAGGTCAAGCATGGGTTGGTGACGTGGCGGAAAAATGAGGGGCGTAATAAACAAAGGGAGATTTGTCATTTGAAGGAAGTAATCCTTGATGCGTATTAGCAACCAGTGTTGATGGTCACCGGATTCAAGGTTTGGAAGAAGAGCTTACACGGGCAGTTTGAAGGGAAGAAATCTATTGGCATACGAAGTCTCGAGTACAGTGGTTATGAGAAGGTGATAAAAATACTCGTTTCTTTCATGCGCAAACTTTGAAACGCCGTAAGAGGAATATGATTCGGGGACTAGAGGCGGAGGATGGGACATGGTGTATTGATGGGAATCGAATTTATGGCATTGCCATTGATTATTTTACATCTCTATTTACCACTGATAGGCCTACTGATTTCTTGGAGATTTTGCAATGTGTGCCGACTAGGGTGGGTGAGATGGATAATGTTATATTGATTGCCTCAGTGACTAATGTGGAGATTGAAACTGCTATTTATCATATGCACCCAATGAAATCACCGGGTTCAGGCGGTTTTATGCAGGCTTTTACCATCATCATTGGGAGACGATTGGGGGTGTGGTTATTGCTATGGTAAAATCTTTCTTTGTTTCTGGAGGAATGTTGAATGAGTTGAATCATACTAATATTGTGCTTATCCCTAAAGTGGATAATCCCACGAAAATATCCCAATTTCATTCGATTTTGCTTTGCAATGTGGTGTACAAAATTATTTCCAAAGTTCTAATGATAGATTGAAGAAAATTCTTCCTAAAGTCATTAGTCATAATCAATCAGCATTTGTGGTGGGAAGGCAAATTTCTAATAATATTATAGTGGTGCATGAACTTCTACATTCTATGCAACATGGGAATGAGGAGGGTATTGATTATATGACAATGAAATTAGACATGGCAAAAGCTTATGATCGGGTTGAATGGTCATTTTTTGAATGCAATGTTGCATAAGTTGGGTTTCAATGATATGTTTTTCCAATGGGTGATGGAGTGTGTGCAAACGGTTTCTTATAGTGTATTAATGGTGAGACAATGGGCTATATCATGCCTCGAAGGGGAATTCGGCAAGGAGATCCGTTATCGCTTTTTTTTTCCTTATTTGTGCAGAAGGGTTCTCATCGTTAATCCATAATGAAGCAAGAATGGGATGTATCCGTGGCATGTCGGTAAGTGCTTGTGCCGACCCTCTATCATATGTCTTTTTTTTCTCCGGATGACTCAATGCTTTTTTGTCGAGCTACAGAGATTGACTCTCTGAATGTTAAAGGTTTGCTCTAATAGTATGTTGAGGGGTTTGGACAATTCATTAATTTGGATAAAAGTTCGATACATTTTAGTGTAGGGTGTTTGCAGGGATTGAAAGCTCACTTGTCACAGATTTTGGGCATTAAACACCAGGAAGGTTTTGGGAAGTATTTGGGCATTCAAGCAGATTTTGGAGCATTGAAGAGGAGAGTGTTCGAAGAAGTATGGAATAGATTGGATGAGAGAATTAATGGGTGGGCGGAACAATTTTTGTCAGTAGCCGGGAATGAGGTGTTGATTAAGAGTGTTGCGGCTACTTTACCTATATATACTATGTCATGTTTTCAATTGTCCATCCAATTGGCAAAGGAAATTGAACAAGTTATTGCAAGATTTTGGTGGAGGGATCAGAAGACAAAAAAGGAAATTCATTGGATGGCTTGGAACAAAGTTGCAAAAAAGGATTCTGGGGGTCTTGGGTTCAAGGAGATTATTGATTTTAACTTAGCTATGTTGGCTAAGGTGGGGTGGCGGCTCATATGTAATTCAGACTCACTTTTGGCTAGAGTACTGCAAGCTAAATATTATCCTTCTTTATCATTCATGGATGCACCGGTGGGTAGAAGCACATCTTGGGGTTGGAAGGGGATTTTACAGGGAAGGAAAATCCTAAAGGCTGGTGTACGGTGACGGGTAGGGGATGGGAGGTGTATTCAAATTGCAACGGACTCGTGGCTACCTATACCAAGGACGTTTCAATCTAATTCACATCATCAGGAGATGTTTACATTGGTTGCCAACTTGGTGGATCTGGGGGGTAATTGGAAGCGTGAGGTCATTGAGTTGTGTTTTAATGAAGAGGAAGCTCATACTATTTTAAGTATCCTACTTAGTCGATTTGGATGCTTGGATAGTATGATGTGGCATTATACACAAAATGGAGTTTATTCGGTGAAGTCTGGGTATATGGTGGCGCAATAAATGAGTAGAAATGGGAAGCTCGTACGGAAATGTGTGGGTCAATCGAGCATGGCGGATAATGGGATTCAGTGTGAAGGGATATTTGGAGATTGAAGGTTCCACCCAAATTATGTCATTTTGTTTGGAAGGGGTGCATGAACATTTTGGTAGTGCATCCAAACTTGCAGCGGCGGGGGATACGTCTGGAGACTAGTTGCCCTTTTTGTGAAGGTGAGGTGGAAACACAGGTACATATTTTTTTTTGTTGCCCATTTGCTCATGTTTTTTGGTTTGGTTCCCGCTTCAATTAGATGTGACCATGGTGGTAGGTGTGGATTTTTTGGAATGTTGGAAGTGGTTATGTGCAAAATATGGTAAGGAATGGGAGGCTTGTGACCTTATGCGATGGGTGGTTGGTGGTTTATGGGGGATATGGAAATGTCGGAATAGTTTGGTTTTTGAGAAGGTTGCGTTAGAGCCCCTTGTTGCAATACAATTACTTAAACAACAATGGGAGGAGTTGAAGGTTTGTGAAGAAGCACAGGTGCATCTGCTACCCTGTGGGCGGCAAGTGAGTAGAGTGGGTCTTCGAGGGTGGATCAAGCCACCTTTTGGAACTTTTAAAATTAATTGTGATGGAGCATGGTGCAGTCAGACTGGTATAGGTGGTGTTGGGTGGGTGGCGAAGGATTTTGTGGGCACTTCAAAGGTGCTAGAGCTGTTGGAAAAATTCTTTGTGTCTCGAGTATTATGGTAGAAGCGGAAGCAATGTGAGTGGCTTTGTTGGCTTGTGTGGAGAGAGGTTTTGAGTCTATACAGTTGGAGAATGACTCTCAGGTTCTAGTCGACATGATTCATGGCCGTTTACAACCGGAGGCAGTTCTAGATGATATCTTAAGGGATATTAGTCTTCTTAAGCAACAATTTGACGTTATTGAGTTCTTATATGCTCATCGTGCCTGTAATGAGGTTGCGCATCTTATGGCTTCTTAGGTCATGCGTGTGGGGGATGGGGATAGTCATTATTGGGATGGTTTTGAACCACAGTGGTTGTTTAACACTCTAGCATCTGACGTAAACATTTCGATTCGTATTTAATAATATTCAAATTTAGACAAAAAAAAAAAGAAGATTGTTTGTCTAATTTGTAATTAACTTAACTCTTAATTAATTATTAAAACAGAATTTATAAAGAATTTGAGATTTATGAATTTGAAAAGAGTAGATAAACAATAAAAGAAATTGGAAATTTGGAAATAATGGTAGCAAAGAAAAAAACGTTTTAAAATTAACAATTTAGATAAATCTAGGGTTTAACCGTCACCGTTACAATCCTATGCAATTCTACTAATTACTTGTGGATTTCCACATACATGCTTTGAAGGTTAGGTTTTCCTAATGCATATTTTCCTCATGATGTTCAAACAAAAACTTATATTTAACATGCAACCCATATGTAATGTTCAGATCAAATATAAACATGCAAGACTCATTAAGTTTTGTGAAAACCCTTTGAAAAACCATGCAACCCTTAAGAGCGTGATATTCGCCTTAAGTGAACTTACAATTACTAAGCCCTCCTCAATTTCAGGGTGATGTTCCAACAGAAATTGCATTAAAATACTTGTTTAAATATCCTAATGGTGATCAATCATTAAAATATATAGATAGTTTTAATCGCAGTGATTAATAATTCAAAGTAAGCATGCATCCATTCATAAGCAAATTAATAAAATTACATATTCATACTAAGGTTCATGGCCTAACCCTAGCAAAAGGATTTAGTTACGCATACTCATAATAAAAATCGAAGAAAATATCATTAACTAGAAAAAGAATGAAAACACCTTGTAGGTAAAAAGTCTGAAATTCTCCAAAGCTTGCTAAATTCTATCAATGTTGCGTAGAGAACCCTAATGGCTAAAAACCTTATTTATACAACTCCAAATTAAAACCCCCATAGAAAATGTTTTTCTAAAAATTAGGAAATAAAATAATAAAATGATAACTAGGAATTACATTCCCATTATGACTAGGAAATCTGCCCAGCAAAGAAATAGCTGCGTTTCTGGACCTTCATGGCTCCAAAACAGGTCTAAAATGACTCAAATTAAAGATTAGGACCTCCTCTTCAAGTTCCAAGAAGAGCCCAAATCCAGAATCCATCATCTTCGAGCCCAAAAATCACAAATAAGCTATGCAGCCCAATCTGCCAGCACTGCACGCTAGGTATAAATTAATTCACCACGATCAGATACTTCGGGATAAAAGTATGAAATTTTGACACAACCTTCTTGACAGATTCACGAACCTGCTCCAATTGGATTCACTCAAAAATTCCACCGTTTGATTACTTTATGCTCCAAACAAGTTCACATGTCCTACATTAAAAACACATAGCAAAGCATCAAAATCTCACCAAAATGATAACCAAAATATACTAAGACTAGGGAATAATATATAGTATAAAATCGACTCATCAATTAACAACACTGGAGTCGTAGAATCAAGCGACTGATGAGCACCTTCAATTTGGAGTAACAACACTACTTCGAATTCAGTTGGTTATTTATCCAAGTCTCTGTTAACAAGGAGTCCTTGAGTCATTGTTGGAAGACGTCATCTCTTAGCCTCTTGGCAAGTTTGGGTGTTACCAGATTACAGTGTTTGACACATTGAAAACCGAGCCTTTTTTATGAATGGATATTCTCAAGTGCATTAATTTCAGAGTTCGGCATTCTGAGTGCCGAAACACAATTACAATCAAGACACTTATCTCTTCTAAGTATTTGTGTTCATATAATTTCATCCCAATTCGGTGCACTTATGTTTTCACAAATATAATTGAAACAATCGAAGTAGGTGCTGACGATGCTGAACTTCGCAGTGACTAGTAGCCTTGCCCTTAGGCTCTAAAACTCAAAGGCTGAGACAAGTTCCTTCCTCGGCCGTGATTACTTGGATAACATAAGTCAACAGCGTGTTTGACACCTCCATTACATTCAATCTACTCACCGACCGAGTCCAGTCGTTGAGTTGGCATGCCTACAGTTACCATAAGGACGTAGTTAGCTCATCAACTATTCGGTATGTGCGACACGTAGGCTAGTTTTTAGGGTCAACAACAATATATCTCTATATAATGCATACAAACAAATCTACACGATTATAATGGGAATCCTACACTAACTACAATGGAAAATTTAAATCCATACAATACATGAGTTAATAACGGAGATAATTCTGAATTAGTTAACTCTGATCTCACATTAACGTTTATCGATTTGCGTACCCCTACAAATTTGACAATCTTCTTCGGTGCAACAATAAAAAACTGGAGGTAGGTTTATATTAAAGGAACCTGATACAATAAATGTATTAAAAATAGAAACCAAATAAATGAAACTATTATCAAAGAACCCAAATTTAGTGGGTTTAGAGAACTCGGGCACCAACCATACTTGATAGAAAAGAAATATAACTACAACCAAATTTAAATAAATTAAAAATCTAAGTTTCCTAACTGATCCTAAACTATTACAAAGAATCCATATTTAGAGGGTTTATAAAACTTGGGCGCCAAGCATACCTGAAGAAATATAATTGCGAACCATCCAAATTTAAATAAATAAATAAAATCTTAGCTACCAAAATTATCAAAGATATTAAATCCCAAACAGAAAAGAAATAAAACACTTGAAATTCGACACCAGGCCAAATTAGTGAAATTCATGACTTGGGCGTCAAGTCTTTTGTTATATAAAAGTAGTGCCTCTGAACTAATTTAAATGCAGCCACAGAAATCTAGAGAGAGAGAGAGAGAGAGAGAGAGAGAGAGAGCCACTGAGCTCATTTAGAAGCAGCCAGAGAGAGAGAGAATGGCATCAGAGTCAAAGAAAAAGAACAAGGCTGTTTATCTTTGTGCCTTATTAGGGATGTTTGCAGGTGTTGTTTTCAGCTCCTGCTTTCCAATGAATTTTGAGGAACAACTTAACAGTGCCCATCTTACACAAGGTTTTGGTGAGTTCTAAGTTATTTATCGCAACAAATTCTTGGTCTAGTGATACATCTCTTCTCAACGTTTATTTAGTGTTCTAATATTATTCCGCAATCTGACTGTGCAGTCCAAATACAAGACACCGTAGCAAGAAGAATACAAGATGGCTTGATCGCCCTGCCAGTTAAATTCCTCCATTTCTTCCTTTCAAGGTCTCTACAGTTCCGTCATTTGTCCGCGCTGCAGCCACCGCCGTTTTCTACTTCAATGCTATTCTGGGTAGCATTTACTCGATCGGTTTCTTCCATGTCCGACGATGGACCTCTCTATGTAATAAGATAATAATTTAATTCAAAACTTGGCAAAACAATGCGTTGTTGTTTTCCCCTCTGTTGTTTTGGCATGTAAACTACCGTGACTGGAAAGTAAATGTCACTCCATACAGTACATATTTATCAAAACACCCACTTTCACCAGAAAATACGACAACGGAAAACTTTCAAACTTTTTTTATTCTGCAGTCTATTTTCTACGGACGAGTTAATAATCTGGGGTAAAACTTCCGTTCAGTGTACATCGTGTGGTTAGAAACCTTTTTAAATTTTTTATTATTTAAAATTAAATACAAACAGTACCTAACGAAAGCAGGCCGTACGATGTACAGATAGGATGTGAGGATCCCTAAGATCCTCATCGAAACTGTAAAAATATACAGAATCACTGGTCAATGCAACTTATCGCCATCCAGGGACTCGAGTTGTAGCAACAAACTTGATGATTTATCAGACCTATCCATGTGGTTTACAATGTTAATCAACCTATCATTTCTATATATATTTGTGATGATTTTCAAACTCATTTGATGTGGTTAATAATGTTAACGAACCTATGTTAAGGACCTTTAGTTAAATTTGTAATTGGTGAACCTATCTTTATAGTTTATAAATCGATTAATATCGATTACTAAAATTTTAATGTCTAATATCAATATACAATTACAATATATCTCTATATAATGCTCTAACGCCTGAAAAGTAAATAAAGAACTAAAGTAAATGACAAATTAAAACCACAGCAACTAGTTTAGTGGTAAGGGTACATACTGCAACTCCTCAAAAAAAAAAAAAAAATTGTGGGAGGTCCCGGACACATCCTCCTTTAGAATGCGATGCAACCCAATTGTGTGCAAAATACTCTTGATGGGGGATCCATGCCCATTTTAAAAACTGAAAGCGTTGTCAAGGGTCTCTTATTCGGGGAAGGATCATTCTGGTAGTCAAACATTTATGCATTTCAAGTTCTTGTAGCGAACTCAATCAAGCTCAAAAAATGTTGTGGGGCAATTTTCTCTACAACTTTCTAAAAAATGTGACTCTAGAAATATGATTACTTAATTACTAAAAGTGTATATGGTATATTATATTCTATATATGGGTATTGTTGGCCCATTATAGTAGGTATTATTTATTTATTTATTTTTTTTTTTTTTTGTCAAACGATACATTTTGTTAGATTAGATGTTAGATTAGTCACCGACAGGACTCGAACCCACGCTGTCATGCAAAGCTCAACTCTTTTCCATCACTGTGGTAAAAAGCCACTTGCCATTATAGTAGGTATTCAACCCTAACTACAATTCAAAAACTGCATTCCTATAATAAATGAGTTAATTGCAGAGATGGTTCGAATTAATTAACAAAAATTTAACAATCCCCCAAATTAAGTTACCTAAATTACAACCAAATTAATCTAAATAAATTAAAAATCAAAGTTACCTAAATTATGCTAAACTATTACAAACAACCCATATTTAGAGGGTTTGGAGAACTTGGGCGCCATGCATGACAGAGAAGAAATATAATTACCTCCAAATTCAAATAAACAAATAAAACTGATACGATCCAATTCTCAATAACTTGCAAGTAGCACAAGAAAGCTACGGAAGAAGAGGGAAGGAGAGAAGGAGCAAAGCTCCAATTATTTTTGTGTTTAATTTCTTTTTGTAAATTCTGATTTGATACATTTGAGGGAGCTGCACTCCTTTTATACAGCCTCTATACTTTTAAACGTCAGCTGGCATATTAACAAATTCCTCACAGTAATAAAGCATAAAACCTCAATAATAACTTCGGTCATAACAATACTTCCCCCTTGAAAATTAGCCTTGTCCACAAGGCTAAAAAATTTGGATGTGGGAACTTGTTTGAAAGCAGCAACACGTTCCCTTGTGATGGTCATGTTCTCAATTCTAGATATGCCCATTGCAATCCCAGTATCAGCAAGTTTCAAAACAGGTGAATCATTTAGTGGTTTCAAAGCACTAGTTGACATCTCATGAAGGGCTTGCACGATATAGTTCCTTGAGCTATCATCCAGTGGTACAACAGTGCCATCAAGCAACTGAACCTTAGTGCTTTTCTCAAGCAAATTCTCTACAACACCCTTCACTAGCAATGACTCCTCCCCTAAAACAGAGTTGACAATTACACCCGTGGATTTCTTATCGCGATCAAACTCAAGGGTTGCAATTCGGCGTTCAAATTCACTCCACTTATGGCAACAACCAAAAAAATCCCTTCCATTTGATGATTCCACACCCTTGGACTCTTCAGAAAGGACGACCATCTTCTCAACTAAAAACTTTGGAGCTGCCTCAGTAGGCATTCCATGGGCAACATACTTCTTTTCTGCTTGTTTAATGCTAGGATTATTGTAGAAAGTAGCTACCTTTGCGATCATTTGAAGATTAGCATCCATTTGACTAGTTGGCTAGTTAAGAATTTCACCATCATGTGGATTGCATATAATTCCATCCACCCTAAACTTCAGTAGTATAATAGGCCTAGGACTCCAAGCTACAAGTTTTGCCACTGCCATCTGGTTTGTAGTCATGGTCCATGTTTTATCATAAGCTCCAATCAACACATTTGCTACTTGAATATCATAGGTTAAGCACTGCCATTCCCTTTCCAAGTAGGAAGCAAAGTGATGTCTCTGAACAATTAGCACAACATGACCACTACCCTTTTTTGGCATGATTTTCTTATCAAATTTGAAGGTCCAATCTATTTCTATAAGTTCAACCTTGTTCACTTCAACCTTTGAAGGCTAAATCTCCTCCAATCTCAAAACAAGCTTCGTTAAAGTGCAAGCCATAATTGACTCAAGCAAAATTCACAAGAATATGGACATTGTAAATGTTTCACTTCATGTGATATGTGGCCCTCAAAAGATTGAACTAACCCTGAGCCATTTTCCCCACTTTCTATGCAATACACCATGCTAACAAGTTCAATGCCGAAAAGGGCTTTAACAGAGTTTGGACTTTCACTAGAACCTGACTATCGTAGAGAATGAGAAAGGGTGTATAAAAGTTGTGACCAACATTCTTTCACATCCTGTTGCATGAAGATATTGTTATATTGCTGACCAAAATGAGGGTACTTGTTGAGCAATACCATCCAAAATTGCACAGGTGCCATAGCCTTGATACCTTTATCCAATTCACTAATTAAAGCACAAGCTGTAATATTCAGCCTATGAGAAGTTTGATCCCCCCCATCATTTCTTTCAAAATGAGAATACTTGATCAAAGCTGATTTCAACTCTGGAACAGAATGCAGAAAATGTATGGTGGAGTTCATATAATAGGTGTTTCCCAAGTAAAATAAACCAGCATCATAAACCAAGTTAATAGGTACTGAAACAAGGTTTTCTTCTATGGGTACTTTGCTGCTAGGATGCCCACTCAAATCACCCTGGGCATCTAACTCAATATCATCCAAACCAACAGAGTGTGTAGTTTGATTTATGCCAACCGTGCTTTTAGCTAATCGAAACATCACAATGTCTACAGGGGAATATTTTTCATCTAAGCCTTTGCTTTCAATCATCTTGATCTCAACGTGGGATACATTAGCTTTTTCTTCATAAGAAATTTCTTTAACCATTTGTTTAATCCATATGGCACTAGCAGCAAAACTAAGTTTCAAGATCAGCTGCTCCAGATAGGAAAACCGACATCTGTGAGAAACATGCTAGCGAAGTTGCACATATGCAACCCACTGGTTAGGGATGACCTGAACCCTTGGACATGATTCACAACTATATTCAATTACTGTTCCACTAAGAGTATTCATAATACTGTTATTGATGCAGGACCCTAACAAGTAAAGAGCTAAATAACCATATATCAAGAGCTTCAAATATACCAAGGCATCCAGATTGCTCCACAATGATTGAGATGCAACATAGACGTAGAGGGATGGCTCATATATAGTCAACTGATTTGCACAAGCACTATTAAGATTGGAGGCGATATGACAAGGAATAAGCCTTTGCAGGTGATGTATGAGATAGTAAATGAAATTGAAGAGTGTTCCCATATTTTCGTCACCCTGTCTGTTAGACATTTCATCAAACAGGGTCGATGCACACAGATCCTTCTTCACAGACTTACCCACAAGATACCAATTAACTCATCCAAATTTATCTTTTAGGTATGCACCATAGTTATCAGTCATAAGAGAAGGGACCTTAGCCTTCGGAGTTGCTGAAATGATACTTAAATTAAGAACTACCTCAAGTCTAGTTTTCGTACTATCGGAGAACAAGTGCTTATGGAGTAGCTGCGGAGCAGAGATCATCGTCTTCGATTCCGGAAGCAAGACTGTAGATGCAGCAAACTTGTTCGAGTGTGGCTTGACGGTTGAATTTGCTAGTGCTCGCAACATCGGTGAAGATGAGAGCAATGGTGGAATGGAATGGTCGTGGATTGTCGACGAAATTCGGAGTGGGTTGCCGTCTCCGTTGTGAGGTTTTTGGTGACCGACCTCGATCGATGCAGCTTCCTCAGAACACGTCGAGGCTGGATCAGAATCTCCCGCAACGTCGAGAGCCAAGTCACGGTGTAACTGAGCAAGGTCATTGCGGATTTCGACGAGTACAAGATTCACAGCCTTGTGAATGGCTGTGAGTGCAGAATCCATAGCTTCGCGGATCGCATCACGGATCGCAGCACGCATCGAAGCTTCAAATGAGTCGATTGCAGCGGAGAGGTGTGCATCCATGGTAGGAAGACGGGTCGGGTGGGTGTGCACAGGAGGGAAACCAGGATTCGAGAAGGATGATACCATTGATATGATCCAATTCTCAATTCCCTTAATCAACCTGTAAGTAGCACAAGAAAGCTATGGAAGAAGAGAGAAGGAGAGAAGAAGAAGCACAACTCCAAATATTTTTGTGTTTAATTTCTTTTTGTAAATTTTGATCTAATACATTTGAGGGAGCTGCGCTCCTTTTATACAGCCTCTACACTTTTAAATGCTAGCTGGCATATTAACAAATTCCTCACAGTAATAAAGCATAAAACCTCAGTAATAACTTCGGTCATAACAAAAACGCTTGAAATTCGACAGCAGGCCAAACTAGTGAAAATACATGACTTGGGGCCAAACTAGTGAGAATACATGACTTGGGGGCGTCAAGTCTCTTGTTACACAAAAGGAGTGCCTCTGAGCTAATTCAAATGTAGCCACAGAAATCTAGAGAGAGAGAGAGAGAGGAGAGTGATTGCCTCTGAGCTAATTAGCAGCCACAGGGATCTAGAGAGCGAGAGAATGGCTTCAAGTCGAACAAAAAGAACAAGGCTATTTATCTTGGAAATTGTTATTGGCACTCCAAAATTCTCATTCTACACTTCAAACGTTCTATATTTAGAAAGAAAAATACACTTGTAAAGAGTGTAGAATGAAATTTTTGGAGTGTCAATAACACTTCCCTTTATCTTTATGCCTTATTAGGTATTTTTGCAGGTGTTGTTTTCAGCTCCTGCTTTCATGGGATTCCGATTCATTTTGAGGAACAACATAACAGCGTCAGTCTTGCACAATGTTTGGTGAGTTCTAAATCATCTTCGCAATCGTTGTCTACCTCATGTGTCGGCTAATTTTTAGTTTAACAGTACATCTTTTCTTAACGTTGAAATAAAATATCTTTTTCTCCCGTTTTTTTTTTAATAAAATAAAACAAACATGTTAACCTTTTAAAATGAAAAAGTTGCGTTTTAGTGAAAACATTTGTTTAGTGTTGTGATATTATTCTGCAATCCGACACTGCAGCGAGAAGAATACAAGATGGCTTGGTCGCCCTGCCAGTTAAATTCCTCCATTTCTTCCTTTCAAGGTCTCTACAGTTCCGATGTTTGTCGCCACTGCAGCCACCGCCGTTTTCTACTTCAATGCTATCCTGGGAAGCATTTATTCGATCGGTTTCTTCCATGTCCGGCAACGGACCTCCCCTTGTAATAAGATAATAATTTCAGTCAAAACTTGGCAAAAGAATGCATATTCATCAAAACACACCCATTTTCACCAGAACATACGACAATGTAAAACTTGCATTCAAACTTTTAGATTCTGCAGTCTATTCTCTACCGACAAGTTAATAATCTGGGTTAAAACTGGACAATGTATCATGTATTGAGGACCAGTGTATCGAACAAAGTAGTTCTCTTTTGCTAACTGTAAAAATAAACAGAATTAAAGGTCAATGCAACTTATCGCCATCCAGCCACTCGAGTGTAGGAACAAACATGACCACAAATGACTTGAAGTTTTCGCCAGAAATTGCATTTCCTAGAGTGACTAACTGCGTCAAGCTCATGCTTTTAAATATCAGAAAAGCTTCCCAATAACCTTTCACACCGGCACCCCCAGTCCCAATTTCTTCACTGTTCCAACTAGCTTCCTCTGTATGAGAAAGAGGAGTAGAACATTGATACCGTGTTGTGTCAATAGAGTGTGCACCTATCTCATTGTATGAGATATCCAACACTTGCAGTAACTTCAACTGTTTCAAAGGACCCAGAGCAGTAAAACTGCCGAGCTTGTTGTTACTCAGATTTAAGCGAGATAGAAGCTGCATGGCCTCCAATCCTGTCCAAATGCCCAAGTGTAAGACATTTTCCTCTTTAACGAGAAACAATCAACCACAAAGTTTATTGAGTACAATGATGCATAATGTACAGTCAAAGCCTCATTAAATTAGAGACTTAGGGCTTAGGTGCCTTCGGATGAGGTGAAAACCATAAGACAACCCCTTTATATATGAATAGGACTGTTCAAATTCCTCATATTGAGTCAACCACATATGCAACTCCAACTATACAACTTTTAAATAAATCTGAGGAAAATAATTGAATAAAAATATGTGGACACCACAGAGGCATAAAAGATGCACAACGTGAGCAAAAGAAGCATACCTTCAATTGAATGAAGTTCATTATGGCTGAGGTCCAGCATTCGGACCCACAGTAATTTCTCAACAGACCCCATCCGCGATAATGATAAGTTGTTTAGTCGTAGGCATATATGATTACCAATGCTCGAAGAAGCCAAGTTTTTATGGCTAAAGCAATGCCTGAGCAGAGACTCCCTATTGGAAGTTACCTGCAATAGTTATAAACATGTAACAAACTGCAAAACTTCAAAATGGGAAGCCTAAAGTAAATGAAAGTTCTAAGAAGTTCTCATTTGATGAACACCAGAACACAAAAGTAGTTGCCTACCAAAATTCAAATGAGGCTTCTATAAACAAATACCTACATTATATTGGACCAGTCTCAGCAAGGGACCACTTATATAACAGTCATAAATTAAACAATCGAGCATAAGTGTAATCCATTCTATCAGCCAGGATCCCATAGTACCCAATTTGGTCGTACTCAGTCAAAAGCAATGACAAAACATGTGCGGCATTACCATATACATAAACTTTTTTTGCTGAAGAAATTAGATTATTTAATTAGAATCTATGAGTCGGTGTAATCCATAAAAAGGTAAGGACCTTCAGCCACTGATAGTCACAGAAGAAGAATACAAATCCAGATGCACATGCAATGGCATACTGATAGAATAAAGGATCATAAATTGCTACAAGAGGTGGAGAAGAGATAATTACCTTCTGCAGGAATACTAAGCTGTGCTCATCTTTGTAATACTGAGAATGTGATGGGTCCAACTTTATTAAGTCGATATATAGTTGAAGAACTTCGTCAGAGTGGAACATTTTGCTTGTACATGGAGACAAGATAACATCATGAGCTGTTAATAGCCTTGCTAGTGTAAGCTTTCCAATTTTACTGCAAAAGGAATATCAAAAGAGGATTATTAAAAGATTTTAGAAATTTCGAGCCTTAAAGGTTCCCATAAAGTATAAGAAGCCTACCAATTTATCTCTGACACCAATTCTCGGAAGAGAGCTATTTCCTTAGCAATAGTCTCTGCACGCCAATTTGAAGCCGTTGGCTCATGTACATCATTAACACTTTGTTGATCAACAGGAACTACTTCATGTAGCTCCTGATATTGTGTTTGGAACGCATGAAAATTTTCATCTGTCCATAAAATTATGTCCTCGCCCTGCTTTTCAGCTGGTTCAGTTTCAATAGGGCGTACACACACTTTGAATGCAAACTGTGTAGGATGACTATAATCAAAGCCACTTGCAGAAATGATACCCTGAGTCGGCCCAACACTAACTTTCAGCTGATACACTTCTGAAGAATGAGACTTTGCATTTGGAAATTTAATATGAGTAACCCAAACTTGAGAGAGCTGGGAGTTATTTTGTAAGACTGGTTTCCAAATAAGATCTTTTGTGCAAAATGAAGATTCAATGGTTATACTGGATGAATTTACACCTTCAACTGCTTGATTGAAATAAATAAGCAGTGGCACTGTTCCGGAATCAGAACGGAAACTATCAAATGGAGATGAAGAACAGTCACTTGAGTGCCTATTTCTCGACAAAATTACGGAAGATCCATGGGCCGGCCAAGAAGAAACAAGAAGAGGAGCATCTGTCTTCACCGTTTGATCAAGAAGCCAAGTATAATAAAACCAACCACTTTGATCATCTGGATCCGTAAAAATAGCATCGTGTACATGTTCATACTCATTGTTCAGAACCTTCGCTTTTGGGAAAAACCCTTCAGCCTTTTTCTTCATCAAATTAGACAGGAGTACACTGCAATTTTCCCAATATATTCAATCAGTTAATAGACATGTTTCGTGAGATAAAACATAAAATTAAAAATTTAGCTTTTCGCAATGTTGCAATTTTTTTGTAATATAACCAATGAGTAGATATAGTGCAACTCGGGAAGAGTGGAAAGAATCCTTAAGAAGATATAATTATTTGATGCAATTACACAATTATCTTTTCAATTTGACTTAGCCTGGAGACAGAATATAACAGGCAGCATATTCAGTTCAACATTTGAAGAGACTACTACATTCATTTGGCTTGTAAATAAGCAGAGGAAAGAAAGTCGTTTTTATATACATATAGAAGAAAAAAAGCAATTAGTGACAAAGATATGTAAAATTTTCTTTATACATTCTCTCCACATTCTTGGAAATAACCAAGGAGAGAGAAACAAAACATTTATCTAAAGATTATTGAGAAATGTAACCAAATGACTGTATTTCTCTTCAACTAAGGGGATCTTTACTTTAGTTTCCTGCAGTTACTAACTGCAAGTCTTCTCTGCAATCCATAATCAAATACCTAAAAAATGGATCAACTAGGAAGGTCTAGGTGATCTGAATCACTTTCCTTACTTCCCCTATTTCTAAGTTCTTCCATTCCTTCCTGCTCCAATATCTGTTAAGTAAACATGCGCTAAGTGAATCTGAAAAGGGGTTAGCTGTAACACAGAGATACTTCCCATATTTAGATTATTTGTTTCAATATTCAATCCACATTTCCTTTTTCTTTTTTTCTGCTATATTTTGTCTTGCAGTGATTGGTAACCAATTACACCATTTATTCTTTCTACAACGGGGCTTAAGACTTGCTCATGTATCATCTGTATGATTGCTTGTCGCAATACAGCATGCATGAAATGTTTAAAATGCACTAATTAAATAAAACAAGTAGCATTCATAATATCAAAAATTGCAAATGGAAAATAAACCACATGTTTCACAATGTTTTCAATCCAATCTAAACTTTTAGTTGACAAAAGAGTATCAGAGTGCTCAAAACTAAAACCAAACCCCACTGTACCGTACCTACGATTATGCCAGGCCGAGTAATTGCTGAAATTGTTTTCTACCATTTCCCTAGTATACTCCAACTCTTCCTCGTCCGATCGGTTCAACAATGCAGCTACAAATCTGCAAATGTAGCAACATAAAAAAAATATCATCCAACGCAGATATGAAATAGCAGACCCCTCATTCCTAAAACAGGAGTTGTAACTAACTTGTACCTGCGGTAGTTCCAAGCATGAAAATTCCGGGGATCCAGCAGCTGGAACTGTTTGAGAAGCTTCATTTCGCGGTCCAAAACCGAATGCCCCTTGCTTAGCACCCATTTTCGATGATGCCAAGCTCCGTAGGACTTAAAATTTTGTCTCAGAGCAATTTCTACCTACACACACAGCAAACCCCAATCAATTCAACAATTTAATGAATTCGAACTTCATCTCAACAAAACAAAACACGATTTCGACATTCCACAATCGAATAAGTAAATGCGTGCATACGAGTCTGAGTTCTTGGTCAATGATGGACTTGAGCGCGTCGGGATCGGACTCGGAGCACCGATCGAGGTTTTGCTGGACGACGAGTTTTCTGTAGTTCCAAGCAGTGTAAAACTCGGGGTTTTGCTCGATGAGTCTGCCGCTCAACTGTAGGGCTTCGTCGGTGTAAACCTTGTTGTGGTGGTTGGAGAAGAATTGCGACTGGAGAGCTCGGAGCGCTTCGGCTCTGGCGGCAGAAGCCGATTCGTCTTCCGGCTTCGCGGGCTTGCGAGGTCGTCCGTGCATTTTGCTTCTGCTTTCCGGCGGGGGCGAAGGATCGAATTGCTTTCGCGATTTGAAATTTGCGGGGCAATAAGATCAGATCGTCTGGGAATTGGGACTTTTCATGTACTAGCGTTTTTCTAAGAAAACTAAAGAAACTTTGAGTTTTAATAAGCACAAAATATAGGGGTGTAAAGTGAATAATCATAGCATTGACTTTTTGTATAAAAATGTGATTTTTCGTTAAAATAAATAGAATTAAAAATATTTTGTTAAAATTTTATTTTTTATAGCGAGCAATTTTGCTCACCACCCCTTAATTTTGGTGTATCCTCATTGTATACTTAATAATTTGTTACTGTCTTTTCAATTAATTTTAGTTATTTTTTTAAATTGAAAAAAAAAACACATTTATGTGAAAGTTAACATTAGATGAAACGATAAATAGCAAATAATTAGATATATAGTAAATATACCCCATAGTTATATTAGTGAGCAAAAATGCTTTCGTTTTTCTACTATGCTAGCAATTGTGGGCTGATTTTCGCAGGATTGGATTCGAAACAAGTTTTCAATTTTTATCCAACTTTTTATTACCCGTTACTGTGTCATGAATAACACGCTTCCAAACCTCACATATCCCGACTTCAAATTTTTAGCACTCAAAATTGCATTTGGTCCGTTTGTGACCTATCTCATTTGTTGACATACGATCATTAATTAATTAATTAATTTTTTAACAAATAATATTATCTATACTAAGAGTGTGGGAAAGTGGGTTAAGCTTCACATTGTGTTCAACATATGTCTTCAATAGAACAAGTTAAAGTACAAAGTCACGTAAGGCAATATCTTCCTAAACTAGTATTTTGCTTTCTTAAGACACAACCTCTATTGTCACTTAGTACTATGATTAGAGGTATTCCTCTTTACCTATAAGTAGGGTTGGAAAAAAATCCCAAACCAAACCGAAAAAATCCCGATCCCAAACCAAAATTCTCGAAATTTTCGGTATACATCCCGAACCAAACCGAAATTTTTGGTATGGGATTTGGTTTTGCATCTCCATTTTTTCGGTATTCCCATATCGAACCGAAAATAAATATTATATATATATATATTATTTTTTAATTATAAGAAAATTATTTCAACCGTTCATTGTTTTGGATTTAATCTATTCCGTTCATTTGTTTTTAGGTCTGATGATCTGATCTCCCATTTCCTTCCGTTACTCACCTCACCCACTCTGCTTTGAGTCTCGACCTCTCCTCCCTATTCTTTCTCCGTCTTTGAATCCGGCCGCACCAATGATCACACCTACACCACACCATCTTCGATCTCTAGAGACTCCTCTGTCAGTCTCGGTTCTCTTTCTCTCTCTCTCTCTCCCTGGAGACTTCTATCGGTGTCTCTCTCTCGTTCGATTTGGTCTGCATTACACTGCACAAGGCTGAAGGTAAGAAATTGCGACCTTCCTTCCTGAATCATTTCATACTTTTCATTTGCCAACTTTGGTTTGAATTCAAATTGGGATTAGGGCTTCTGAAATTGGAGTTTGGGATTTCTGATTTGTATTAAACTTAGGGATTTTGTGATTTCGAACTTAGGAATTTTTTGATTGAAAATTTGAATTGGAATTGGAATTGGATTCTGAAATTGGGGACCTGGGTTTCGAAATTAGGGATTGGGATTCCGAAATTGGGGATTGGGGATTAGGGATTGGGATTCGGAAATGGGGTTTCGAAATTAGGGGTTTGGATTATGAAATAGTTGATTCTCCGATTCTGAAATTGGGGTTTTTATATAGTTCCATGACTCCATCTGAAATTGCCAAATTGGGGATTCTCTGATTCTGTATGCTATTTGTTTTGTATGTATGTATGCTAATTGTATGATTGTATCCGCCTCTGTATCTGTATGTATGCTATTTGTAATAGGTGTTGTATCAATGTATGCCAGTTTTCCGTTTAGTATTTCCTTTAATTTGTTTTACTTGTTCCTGTTTATGGATTTAGACCAGGCCTTGGATATGGAGAGTTTAAATGTGATATACAGTCAGAGGTGTCTGACATTGAAATTTGACAAAAATTGTAGATAGCAAATGAAAAAATCTTTGTAGTTGTTGAAGTTTTTTCTTTGAAGTTTGTGGTCTTTGACGAGTTTTATTTTCTTTTGAATTTCTCAGCACTTGTTGCGGAAGTTAGTGTGGTCCCACCATCAAGATTAACAGCTCTAATTGGTCAGGCTCTTAAGTGGCAGCAACACCAAGGTGAACTGTGGTTGTGATATATTTGAGTTCTTTTTCTCACAACCATATATTTCTATGTTGAATACTCAGGTTTTTTAACCATTTATTTTATTTATTTATTGGAATTTGGATATATGTTGAACTGTGGTTGTGATATATTAATGTGCATTGTTATTGCATGCATGTGTAGTAGAAATTGAATAGGCAGATGCTATTGTGCACAGATTTGTGCACAGATTGGCAGATTGCTTTTGAATAGGCAGATTGTGCACAGATGCTTTTGAATTGGCAGATTTGTGCACAGATTAGTAGAAACAAATTGGCAGATTGGGCTTGCCTATATGTCAATTTTTCAATATAAAATGTTGAATTTTAGCCCAAAAGCATAATATGTCAAATTTTTGTCCAAAAGCCCAAAACCATTTCGGGATTCCCGATTTGTCCTGAAATCCCGAAACTATTTCGGGATTCCCGAAAATTTGGTTTGGGATCGGTATTGAAATTGGGATTCCCGAAAATTTCGGTTTGGGAATCGGGACAAGGGTTTCGGTATGGGATCCCATACCGAACCACCCCTACCTATAAGTGAGATGTTTTAGGTTCGATTCTCACCAAGGCGAATTTAAACGACATATATATATATATATCTATTTTGGTTCTGCACTTTAACAGTTTTGGCTTTTCAATTGGGACAAGGATTGTCTGCCCTCCTTGTTCCTGTGCCCTTCTGTTTTGTATGGTCACGGTTAAGCCACGTCAATATTTTATATATATATTTTTTTATAGAGATAATAAGACAAAAATGAATATTAATATAAAATGTTGACGTAGTTTAACCTTACCCACACAAACAGAAGGGCATGGGAGGGCACAGGAACAAGGAGGCAGACAATCCTTGTCCTTTCAATTGGATGCATAGAGGACTAAAATGATATTCACTGCCACACAATATGCCCCCAAATCCTCCGCCCCCAAATCCCTAAAACCCTTAAAAAACCTTATTCCCGCCGCAACTGTTAAATGTTCAACATATGTCTTCAATAGAACAAGTTAAAGTACAAAGTCACGTAAGGCAATATCTTCCTAAACTAGTATTTTGTTTTCTTAAGACACAACCTATATTGTCACTTAGTACTATGATTAGAGGTATTCCTCTTCACCTGTAAGTGAGATATTTTAGGTTCGATTCTCGCCAAGGAGAATTTAAACGACATTTATATATATATATATATTATATATATATATATCTCTCTCTCTTTTTTGGTTCTGCACTTTAACAGTTTTGGCTTTTCACTTGGGACAAGGATTGTCTGCCTTTCTTGTTCCCGTGCCCTCCTGTTTTGTGTGGTCACGGTTAAGCCACGTCAATATTTTATATTGTTTTTTTTATAGGGATAATAAGACAAAAATGAATAGTAATATAAAATGTTGACGTGGTTTAACCGTGACCACACAAACAGGAGGGCATGGGAGGGCACGGGAACAAGGAGGGCATACAATCCTTGTCCTTTCAATTGGATGCATAGAGGACTAAAAATATATTCACTACCACACAATATGCCCCCAAATCCCCAAAACCTTCAAAAAACCTTATTCCCGCCGCAACTGTCGTACCCTCCTCCGCCCCTGACCTCAAAATCGAAATATCCACAAATCCTAACCCCCGACTCTGCAGCCACATTCGCCCTGAAATCCTAGCAGGCCGGGATGTGCTGGGCATCGCCCAAATCGGCAGTGGCAAGATGGCGGCGTTCGATCTACCGATTCTGTAGCGGCTACCTGAGAACCCTTTTGGGGTTTTTGCGATGGTGGTCACGCCGACGAGGGTGCGTACCAGTTGGCCGACCAGTTTAGAGCTCTCGGGGCGTCTCTGCACTTGATGTGCTATGTGGTTATGGGAGGCATGGATTGGTTGGGGGAGGTGAACAGAATGGAGGAGAGGGGTGGGGGTTGTGTGGAAGGGATGAGTTTCTGCGTTTTTTTTAATTAATTAATTTTTAATGTATAAAAAATTATTTTTTTGCCAGCACAAATTTGGCAGCCACATGGCACAAAACGTAGTTGCCACGTCAACTATTAATGGAACAATAGATAGAACATGTAACAGATATATTATATTGAAATAAAATAGTACTTAAGGTATGAAAATGAAATGTTTTGAAAATGTTGTATGAGGTTGCAATAGACCTCAAACCTGAGATGGTAAAGTGTAATTTACCCTTAAAAATATTTTCATTTTTAAAGCTAGAGAACATTTGTCCTTCACATGCATGCCTATGCATGTGACTTGATCTTACACAAGTACAATTGTATGCTCAAGAGGTGTATACAAAAATATGCAAGAGAGACATTGTATGTAATAAACAACTGAATGTATACAAATTTTTCTCAACTTTACAGTAAGATGTGGCCAATTCTCCATTTCAAGTTGTTGCTAAAATGCACCCCCATATAAATCTAGCTCTTAGTCCTTGTTTTTGTTTTTGCTCTCCAAAATATCAAATCCCCAAATTCCCTTCGGCCTCTCTATCTCCCCCTCTCAAAGGTCCTTTTATATGTGTTTTTGTGGGATTTTCCTACATATATTTTGGTCTTCCTTATTCTCTTCTAGGTCTATCTCAATTTTAATGAGATTGGCTAAGATTGCAATTTTGTTGCACTTGATTTTGGCTTGTATTAGATCAAACAATGCAGCTTCAAAGTTCAGCTTCTTCCTCACTCCCTTTCATCATCATAATGTTGGAGAGAGGGTGAAGGGCTCATTAGCAAATGGAAGAGTGTTTAGAAGGGCAGCAACTAATTTCAGAAAGTTCTGCAAGTCCAAAGGGCAAACCAAAATACACAAAAATTTATATGCACTAGCCTTTAAATAGAAGACCAAATCCTAATTGCTACTGGTCAGGAGGTGTCCGAAGATTAACTTCGGGACGTAGACCCTCTCCTACTGGTGAATCTCGACAGGAACTCCAACGTCATCGTTGTATACGCTGATGTAGCTCTGTGGTAGCAATGGACCCAAAGATTGGAAGATTGAATTGAGGTCAATGGACCTAAGCTTTTCGTCGGTTGGTATTTTGGGCCGGGGCAGGTCTGAGGTTGCAGTGGTGGCGGTACCCGAATGTTCTTCAAAAACACAACGATCTCTCCTCTCCTCTCCTCATCTTCTTCGAGAGGAGATCGTCGTTGATCTGTCATGGAGAGAAGGGGGAGACAGCATAGTAAAAAGATCCTGAAGATTAGACGGACAAAGACTTGCCTTTAGGGGCAAATTCGAAAACTCATTGTTTGGGCCATTTTAATTGGACTAGTTTAGTGTTGGATTTTGTCCTAACCATTAAATAAAGTTAGTGCATGGTTTTTTTGTTAACATTCAAAGTTTTCAAGTTATTTTCATTAGTTTTCCTTTATATAAATCTTATCATATCCGGCATATCGTTATGAGATTCTACCATATCCGTTGGACTAAATATTATCCTATTAGAGTTGTAATCCTATTGGGATAAGAAATTTACTTTGCCCACTTCTATAAATAAAGGCAAAATGTTGTAAGATAACCCTAAACCTAAACTCGAAATAATCTCTCTTCAGACAGAGCACATGAACTCCTGACCCTCAGCCAATGATCGCCGATCAGAGGACTTTCTCTCACAGTTATCCAAAATGAGTTGTTGACCCAGAGCCAGTGATCGTCCATCTGTGGCCAAGCTCTCAAAATCAATCAATTGGTATAATCGAGGCCAACCGAAGGAACAAGGTGAGATACGGACTCCTCTTGGTATGCAACTTGTTTTAGGTTTCGAAAACTAGGAATTCTCAAACTTATGGAGGAGGATACAACTCTAGCTTCTTGAGATGAGAGAAGTCCAATATGCCAAGAGGATGAAACTCCAGAGGATAAAACTCTAGCTTCTCCAGAGGATACAACTCCAATCTCTCCAGAGGATACAACTCCAGTTTCTCCAGAGGAGAGAATTCCAATCCATCCAGATGATACAACTCCAAACTACATTCATGGTCGCCACTGGATGTCATTCTGCTCCTACTTGTGTCGTGTCCCGGATGGCGTAACGAAGATTGGCAAGGGCTACGTAATATGTTGTTAGGTTTGTGGTATGTACAAGCAAAACATATTAAGACCGGAGGAATATCATCAGGCTTACTGTCTTTCGTTGTTAGGCGACATGGATGTTGAGGTTAATGAAGCAACACAAGTTGCATTTAAAAGCTTGTTGATGGCTTCTCTTTTTGATCCGTCCTCAAGCGGACCGTTTAATGGTTAGTGTCTTTGTTATTACCATTTAGTGGATAGTATTTTGTTATTATTGATAACATTTGCAGTATTTTGTAACTCTCTTTTTTAATTTTCCAAACTTATGGCAGTCCATCCCATGAACAATGGCAAATCAACACTAATGGAGGAAAGACAAACTTTTATAGAGACTACCAGAACATATTATGACTCTATCAGAATAAAATTGATAGGTTCATTTCCTCATGTATGATAGTCATAATATGTCCTGGCAGCCTCTATAAAAGTTTGCCTTTCCTCCATCAGTGTTGATTACCCATTGCTCATGCGATGGACTGTCATAAGTTTGGAAAAATAAAAAGAGTTACAAGAAACTGTAAATGTTATCAATAATAACAAAATACTATCCACTAAATGATAATAACAAAGACACTAACCATTAAATGGTCCGCCTGAGGACGGATCAAAAAGAGAAGTCATCAAGAAGTTTTTAAATGCAACCTGTGTTGCTTCATTAACCCCAATATCCATATCGCCTAACAACGAAAGACAGTAAGCCCGATGATATTCCTCCGGCCTTAATATGTTTTGCCTGCATATAAAATCGCAATAGTTCCTTGCATGCTCAGCACCACTTCCCATAAAGTGAATTCCTCTTTCCATCCTGCTCAAACCACTGTCATTTTGAGACCGTGGGCAATTGCCCGTCGACCAATTTAGCTTGTATCCACATCCAAAACGATGTTCGGGGACCTCAATTGTATTGAATAACCTATATCCTACGGGGTTCCTACATGTCAAATTTAATAAATTAGGATGCCAATTTCCTTGAACTAAAACTAAAACTTCAAAAATCAAATGCTAAAATTTATAAAACACACCTCAGACTCTAGCAGCTTCAAGCCAAGAAAGGCACCATATTCTTGATGC